GCCCGTTCGGGTCTGTCCATGCCTGATTTTTGCGGCGACGGGGGGCATTGCCGACCGCGGCGGTGACAGCGGGCAGTGCCGACCGCGGCGGTGGTGGCGAGCAATGCCGACCGCGGCGGCGTCCCGGCCGGGCCGGAAATCAATGGCTGCGAGCGTCGCCGGCTCCGGCTCCGTCGGCCGGCTATCGACCTCAGCCAGGTGCCAATTTGTGCAGCCGCGAGCTCGGCCTCACGCCGGCTGACACCGGCATCGCAGGCCGCCGCCGGCGCCATCGGCCGATGTCGAGCGGCTGCCGGCGCGCCGGCGGGCAGGGCTGACGACCGAGGGCCGGAGGGAGCGGCGCCGGACGCTCTGTCGCTCTCCTCGGAGGATCAGCTGGCGCCGCTGTCGGCTCAGCGAGGTGTGGTTCGCAGGAGCGGAGACGGGCTGGCGGCTGGTGGCGGACGTGTGGACACACCTGCCGTCACACACCTGCCACCGGTCTGGGTGTGGGAAGCACCGGGCAGCGGTTATCCAAAGGGCAGCAGGAAAAGTGTAATCGTTCAGGTGGCAGGGTCACGTGTCGAGTCCTGTTCAGTGCACTATGTTCGATGTTTCATCAGATTGGGGCATCCCGGTGTCCAACAACACGCGACAAGCAGAAGCTATGCCACCAGGTAGGCAAGGGGAGGCCATCTTATTGCCGATTTGCCAAGTGTGGCAAACGCCTGTCCGCCCCTTCCCCTTGAAATTTCGGGAGGCTTCAGGCAACCGCACCAAAACATTCTCTCAAATCAAAGGGTACTAAAGGCTCGCAGGAGGTAATACCTGCCCAGTAGAAGCCCATAGATGGCCGACATCAGGCCTGATGGCTCGACATGAGGCCTTATTTAATCTAAAGAAGGTCCTGTCAGATGCATAGGAGAGCGCATTTTTACAGGAAGCCCCGGCAGCTCAAGAGAGACCGACTAGGAAGACGGGAGGCCCCACCAGGCCAAGAGGAGGATTTCCTCTGTTTTCGTCCTAGGGTAGGGTAGGTTCGTTCTTTCGAAAAGCGGTAGGGTGTTGTAAAGTGTAGGGATAGGAGGCCCCCAGGTCTATTTATGAGGCCTCAGGTCTGCTTCAGAGGCTTCTAGATCTATTGGCCCCCCTTGAAAAGCATGTGTCGCTGTCCATGGCGGTAATTTTGGTCGGCCACTCTGGGCGTGTCGGAAAGCCGGGGGAAACCGCCGTAGGTGTGTTCATTGATAGCTTTTCGATGTAGCGATGATCACGAGCGGAAAATGTAAAAACGTGGTGTATCAAGGAGTGCCAAAGCCAGCGTCCCTCAATCGGGCACGAAGCCTGGATTTTCCTCAATGGGCGGGGTACAGGTTTCAAATTGTTCCGGTTTCTTGCGAATTCGGGCAGAATTACTACGGAATCGCTCATATTTAGTGTAAACTTCTTTGCTTGAAGAAGGAAGGGAAGAGGAGGCACAGCCCCCGTTGCCTCCCTTGGCTACGCCACTGCCTTCGGAACGTTAAATCACGGTAATTTCAATGAAAGCTGGTGCGGTTGCTTTCACACCTGTTATACGGCATTCTGCGCCCGTGGCGATGACCGGCCTTTAGCCGGCAGCTGTCCTTTGGTGTGGTCTCCACATTATCCGCGGAGACTGCCTGGCGGTGCGGAGCCACACGGCCCTCGCTGACGTAGGGCGCGGCGTGGCCCCGGCGCAGTCATGCACCGGGACCCAGCCGTAGGTCATCGGATGGCGCGCCGCGCTGACACGGGTCTTCGGACCACGTCGTCGCGTACGCCGCTCGTTGGTATCCCCGGTACACTCACATGGCCTGCCGCTCCGTGTCCTGCCCGGTGCACCGACGCCGTGTTACCGCCGGTGCCCCGACGCCGTGCACCACTCCGCGGTGCCTGCCCCCCGGTGCTCCGGCGTCGTGCACCATCCCCGGTGCACCGACGCGCTGCGGTGACCGCTGCCGTGGGAGCGTCTCCGGTCGCGGTGGCTGGCCGCGCCTGACCGCGGCCGCCGTCCGACGCTCGTCGCTCGCTCGCTCGCTGCCGGCCCTGCTACGGTGACGGCCGCCGTCCGCCGCGCGTGGCGTCGCTCGCTCGCTCGCTCGCTGCCGGCCCCGCTCTGGTGACGGCCGCCGATCGAAGCGAGATGACGCCGTAGGGTGCCGCTCGGCAGCCGCCGCCGGCACGGCCGGCCGTGCCCGCCGCCGCGCCGGCGTCACCGGGGCGGCCATTAGAGCAGCCGCGGGGCGCCGCCGTCGCCTGCTCTGGAGCGGCGTTGCCCGTCCAGGCCATGCACAGGTGGTGTCATGGTGCCTCGTTGCGCCGGGTGAAGTCGGGCCGTGTGTTTTGTGCTCTCTGCCCGGCCGTCGCCGACGGTCGGGTTGCCATGGCATTAGGCGTCTTTCGCGGATGCATCGGCGGCCGCTGCACATTTTTGGGTCGGCATCGTGGCGCGGAGAGCCGGCCAGACCGGTCTGGCGACTGATAGCATCGGCCGGCCGCGGCCGCGCCGCGCGCGCGCGCATCCAGCGACACTCAATAACTGTATTGTACCGAGCTTCGCATCGACACGGCCGGGAGTGGCCGCGAGCCAACGACGGCGAACGGCGCGCCGCCGCTGCGGACGGCGCCGGTGACTGACGGCGGCGCGGGCGGCGGCTGGGAAACCCGGCCGGCGGCGGCGCGCCGCCGTGCCGTGCTGTGCCGCCATTAGGCGCCGGCCGGCCCGGCCGTGGCATCCCGTGCCCGAGTTGATGGCGTAATCGGGCCGGCGGACGACGGCCGCCGACCCGGACGCGGCGGCGCGCGCTTCGCGGGACAGCGCCTCGCGGCTCCCGGACGCCGCCGAACCCTCGCAGGACGCGCCCTGGAGGCTGCTGGCTGGCCGGTGACGTCACCGGCCGTTCGGTGACGTCACTGGCGGGCGGTGTTCGACGCCGCCGCTCAGTGACCCGCTTTTAGGTCGCGGCGTGGCCGGCTGTCGCGGTCGCAGGCGCCGTAACCCGCTCGGTCGGCAGCCGCCGCTGTATATTTGCTCTGGCGCCGCGCAGTGCTCCCCTGCGCCCGCGCGCCGGACTGTGTGGGTCGGCCGGGGACGGTGCTGCCGCCGCCGCCGCCGCAGCCGCACATCTGGCTCCCAGCTCTCGCGGCTGGTGGCGGAGCGGCGCGAGCGGCCTGGCCGCCGCCGCCGCCGACCCGGCTAACGGTGACGCGACCGACCCGGCTCCGCACGCGCGCCGCCCGGAGCCAGCGACCGCGTCACCTGGCCAACTGCGCCAACACGACGTGTCGGCGGCGATCGCCGTCGCCCGGCCCGGCCGCCAAGGTCGACGCTCGTCCTCCATCGGGGACGGCGAACCCGCACGGGAGCTGCCGAATGATTGCGATGACCACGGCGAAGCCCTTTTTCTGGGAGACAGTCCAGCTTGGCGCGCGCGAGAAACCTCTCCTATTATACCCGATCTCCTCGCCGAAGCGATTGACGACTCATCTTTCCCGAGATGCCGTTGCAGCCTGGCGGCGGCTGAGTGGGATGGTCTGTGACATGGATTGTCGCTCTGGGGAAGGCTCGAGCTGGACGGACGCATACTGGCGCGGTCTGCGTCCGACCCGACCCGCTCCATGATGGCGCACCTGGGAGACGGGCCGCCGGCCGGGCACTCCGCTCGCCGCCCGCCGCCCGGCGCCCGCCGGTAGCGGCCGGCCGCCGGGGCACGCGTACGTGAAACGTACCGCTGGAATGATTGTGCATGTGTTTTTGTCTCCGGAGGAAAAGGTAGAGGAGAGAGGAGGACAGACAGAGAAAGAAGGCAGAACAGGCAAAAACGTGTGCCAAATGGCGGTGTGCGGTGGCCGGCGCGCGCACCGCGGTCCGTGCGGCTGGCGGAGGGGCGCGGCCATCGCCGGCCAGCCGCTTCGCACGCATCGCGCCCGCCTCCTCCGCCGATCGCCAATCAGCACCGCACCGACGGTGCCGGTGGCGCCGGGCGGCGACGGTTGTCGCTGACAGGGCCGGGCTGGAGCTGGCGCCGTCGGGCAGCCCTGGCGGACCCCTGGGCGGCCGGCCGCCGCGATCAGCTGTGCGGGCCCGGTCAGCTGCCGGGGCTGCGTGCCGCCGCCCGGCCGACCGGTGCGGGCGGCGCGTGGCGTCACCGGCGCGGCCGTGTCGCAATCCGACGTGAGTCAAGCGGACGGGGAGCGCGCACGGGCCGGGGCGGGCTGGTGCGGCCCGATCGCTGCTGCCTGGCCGTTGTGTGTGCGAGAGGGGATGCCATGTGTCACGGGCGGCGCCGGAAAGGCCCCAGCGTGCTCACTGCGCCGGGCAGGCCCAGCGCGCTCGCTGCGCCGGGCAGGCCCCAGCGTGCTCACTGCGCCGGGCAGGCCCAGCGCGCTCGCTGCGCCGGGCAGGCCCCAGCGCGCTCACCGCGCCGGGCAGGCCCCAGCGCGCTCACCTTGTGGGGTAGGCCCCAGCCCACTCACCGCGTCGGCTAGGCCCGCTTCAGCCCGCTCACCGCGCCGGGCAGGCCCCAGCCCGTTCACCGCGTCGGGCAGGCCGCAGCCCGCTCACCGCGCCACGCTCTGCCCTCGGAGCACCGGTAGTCGGGCGCGTTCCTGATGTTGCGACTGAGCCGGCGCCGAGGGGCGCGGTAAGGCGTTTAGAGGTGCTGACAACAGGGCTTCGCCGCCAGTGTGAACAGAATGTTCGTCGGATTTAGTAGTGCGAGGACTTAACGTGCATCATATCCTGAGATTACCGAGGCACCCAGGGTGTTGATAATCATCTGCTGCCTGCTCCAGCATTGCGCCGGAGGATTTTTCACTGATCCCTTTCATGCAGGGCGGAGGTCTAGTTCGAAAATGGAGCTGTTGTGGGACTCATCTCCGCGAAACGGCCGGCGCCACACCTCTGCCGAGAGCGCTGTTCCAAACAGTGCCCGTGTGTGGCTGCTGACCTGCCGCTGTGTGAGCGCTGCCCTGACTGTCGCGCTCGTCCGCCGCCGCAGGTGGTAAACCGTCGTCGCTAGGCGGCCGCCTGACCGAGTCGTCCGTCGGCCAGTTCAAGACGGACGACGGCGCTTCGCTGGCGCCCGAGTTTGCAATCGGTGAGTGCGGCGCTCCCGCCCGCCCCTGAGAACGGGCCGCCGGTGCCGGCCTGTCGCCGGCCTCTTCTGTTTATGCTTGAAATGTCGTCTCGGCTGTATATTTTGGTCGGATGTCACGCACGTGGGGCCTACATGCCACTGCTTTCAGGGAGCGAGTGGTGAGATTCACGCTTGAAATCACGGTAGCGGTGGTTGAGCGCAAGCGTGTTCATTGTGGTATCTGCGCTGGGTATCTCCCGGGAAAAGAATGAACTCTCATCACAAACATCCAGTTAGTTGGGCGTTTTCCGAAGTCTTTTCCCATGGAGAATAAGCTATCGGTACTTAAGGGTATCACGGGCGTTGCAATCTGTGGCTCCTGTGCGACAAAATAACTATGGCATCCGAGGCATTGCATACGACCAGCCATCATCATCCCTCCTGCACGGCTATCTCGTGCGCTGCACATTTTTAGTGTGGCATGCTGCCCTTCCCCCCCTCCCCCCCGCCCACTTTACCGCGCTTAGTGTAGTCATTTCGCTGAATGCTGCCTGCGACATCCAATAAACTTAACCCTCCGTGCTCCTCCGGTGTCTGCAGTAGTCCTGTGTTGTGACTGGGACGTGTTGTCGGTGTTTTCTGGCCGCTCGGCGCCGGCCGTGTCGCGGCGTGCTGGCTGCTCGTGACCGGCGTCGTGTCTTGCCGCTTGCAGAGCGGTCGCTGCCGGCGGGCCGCCCGGGCGCCGGCGGCGCCGCCCGGCCAGCCATGGTGAGCGCCGGCAGCCCGGCGCCGGCGCAGCCGCTGCCCTCCAGCGGCGCCATCAACAAGCAGCCGATGACGGCCGACGCCCAGTACATGCAGCAGCAGAGCCATATCTTCGTCTTCTCGACGCAGCTGGCCAACCGGGCGTTCGAGTCGGTCATGCAGGGCCAGTACCCGACTATCATCTCGTACCACTGCTCGCAGCCGGGCACCAAGAAGTACCTGGATGTGAGTGGCGGGACGGCGGGCCTTCCGTGACGTCACGGCGCGAGGCGCTCGTGGTCAGCTGGTGGACATAGTCTTGCGCATTGCTCTGCATGGTATTGTTTTTGCTCGGCGCAAGAACTGATGTGTGAGGAGTGGGTTCAAGAGTATTTCCTGTGCGCCTCCTGGTAGGAACGTCTTGTCCTGTCGTGTCCATGTCGTGAGCGCGGCGTGTTGTGTTGATTCACGTCGTGATCTTATTGCGGGGCGGGTCATGATAAAATCGAAAGCCGTTCTTGTACGAGGGATATCCGACCTGCATGTCAATGTTATCTGAAATCATGATGTTTTCTATAGTGCATTACGTTGTCTGCCGGTTAGATTGGCCAGATGGCTGTTTTAACATCATCCATCAGTATTGTGCAGTATTATAAGGTGGATCTTCTCAAACTAACAACCGTCGACCTTCGAGATGTCAGAAGGTACTGGTTAACGACGTCATCAAGCAGGCATTGGGTATACTGACAAATCCCGACGTTCCACGCTGTACTGGTGGTCTTGAATCACTGTGCAAACTCGTGGGTTTTGTCAGTATAGTCCATCCTTGCTTGGTAGGGCCGTTTAGCCAGCAATTGTGGGCATATCGCAGGTCGACTGCTGTCAGCAGAACTTCCAATTTGTAGTACCGAAAGGTCGGGAGCTCCAGACCTCTTGTGGATGTCTTATATACTACTCGTGGCTCTACGTGAAGAGCAGCGGTCATTGAACCCACCGTATTTGGTTGTCACAAAACAGGCACTTTTCAACTTTTAACTGCAGGGAAACATCTACTTGTAGCGGTTAGCTAGCATTCAAATGTGTGACACCACATGACGGCTGTACCATTGGTTGTGCCGTGAGCGTGCCCTCTTGAGGGTTCCCCTGGCTCGTGAGCGCGTGTCTGCGGCTGAACGTCCGTCCGTCTGTCCGTCGCCGCAGCGTCACCCGCTGAAGAGCAGCCAGTTCACGCGCGGCCCGCAGCCGCCCTGGCTGAGCATGGTGAAGCGAGGCGGTGGCGCCGGCGGCGGCGCGGCCGCCAAGCTGCCGCCGGGCTCGCCGCTGCTGGCCGAGTTCGGCGCCGGCGGCCCGGCCGGCCCGGTCGCCTCCATGGCCGGCGCCTGGCCGCCCATGTCGCCGTCCGGACCGCCGGCCTCGCTGGCCGCGCTCGGCCAGCCGGCCGCCATGTCGGCCGCCGGCGCGGCGCCGCCCGCCTCCGCCGCCGGCCGGCTGCACATGGCCGGCGCGCCGCCCGCCTCCATGTCGGTGCCGCCCATGTCGCTGTCGGAGCCGGGCTTCGCCATGTCGAGCGGCGGCCCGACCCGGCCCGCGTCTTGTGACCCGGTACGTCGGGGTGGGCGGAACCATAGGTTGGCACAGGCCCGGACGAAGCGGCCGAGCGGGTGTGGCAGGGACTGTGCTATGTTGCGAGGGGTGTCGATAGTGTGGTGGTTAACGCGTCTGCGTTAACCATTACGCGCCTCTGAAACCAGGTTCGATTCCCCGCGGTACCCGCCCTCCGTGCCAGAGTGGGAGGTAGGCGACGCCGTATAGCATCATCAACTGAGTGCATCGTTAAGTTCCAGTGACGACGATAATGACATGTTGAGTGGGACAAACTGATAATGGTGGTGTGCGTGGTGTTTCACGAGGGACATAGTCTGTATGTTTTTTTCCTGGTTGCGTGTGCATTGTGGTTGAAAGCCAGCAGTTGGGAAGGTCCCCAAACAGCTGATTGTGTCTGCTTTTCCACTATAGGTATGTGCCCGGCCGTATCCGTTCCCAGCGTAGTTAATGGCTAACCTCGTGGTCGCGCCCATAAGCATGCTCTTCCGGTGCTCCAACCAGGCCCCGTTCGTTAGCCAGGCGGTGATTTGTGGATGGGGTCCTCTTCTTCGACTGGTCGACCAGCCGATGGCCTCATGGTTTCGCTATGGCCGCTTCTAATGTAATGCATTATCCCAGCTGATTGAATAATCACGATGTGCCAGGCATGGATATAATTAGTCATCCTCCCTTTGAACACGCCTTCTGTTGCCAGATGCAAATGTTCGGCTGGAGCTTACACCACAGTCTGGCACAGACATCATTTGTGGTGTAAGCCCGACCCTAATGAGACGTTGATAAAGGAAAAGTGTTCGCGTAACCACACGACTATATATTTGCCTTCATTTGCGGTTGTCTCACACGCGAATGTTAGTGAATGGGAGTGGCGGAGCCCAAGGTGCGTTGTTGAACGGTCGTGTTATGCCTCGTGATGGATGGTGCGGCACCAGAATTAACAGCAAAAGCCGTGGACCATGTTAAAGGCGCATTGGGGATGGCACTTGTCCAGCAATTAGATTATGAGCTCTGACTACGGGCAAGCACATTGGATGCATACCCCCGGATGTGGACAGACATACAAATCGCGATGCACGCTGGCACATTGGTTTGGTTTGCGATTTAACGTAGCGTGGTCCCACGCGACGTTGCGTGCCGCTGCTCTCGGCCTGGTCTTGTTTCGCGGCAGTGCAAAGATCGGCGTAGTTCTTGGCTTGCAGCCGGGCGGGCGCAGATGCAGTGTCCGTCTGTAGTTCGCGTATTGGCTCCAGAGCCAATGTCGGTCTGCCTTTGACCCGCGCGCCGTTGTCGGTCCCTCTACTACCGCCTGCTGTGTCCGTCTGTGCCCCGTGCGCTGTTGTCTGCCCCTCCACCACCTCCTGCCGTGTCCGTCTGTGACCCGTGCGCTGTTGTCTGTCCCTCTACCACCGCCTGCCGTATCCGTCTGTGACTCGCGTGCCGTGGTCGGCCGCCGCCTCTGGCTGACTCGTGTCTCCGCACCGCCGCCAGATTAAGTCGGCGCCGTCGCCGACCGTGCTGGCCGGGCCGGGCCGCGCCATGCCCGGCCCGGCGTCGGCGCCGTCGGCCGCTGCCGCCGCCGCCGACAGCGACGATGGCCGGCCGCAACGACTGCCGGACGGCGACTTGACGCTGGAGCAGCGCCACCACCGCGCCTCCAAGCTGGCGCGCATCAAGCGCATAGGCGAGATGCTGCTGCCGGACCAGCGACCGGGCGAGCCGGGCGGCGCTGCCGGCCAGAACGGCGCGTCCGGCCCCAACCGGCCGGCCGGGCCCAACGGGCCCATGGCCGGACCCAACGGGCCCATGGCCGGACCCAACGGGCCCATGATGATGGCCGGACCCAACGGACCCGTCATGATGGCCGGCCCCAGCGGTCCCGCCGGCCTGGGCGGGCCCGGCGGAGGCCCCATGGGAATGGGAGGGCCTAATGGGTCGGGTGGTATGGGAGCCCCGAATGGTCCCATGGGAATGGGCGGTCCAAACGGCCCGGCTGGAATGGGAGGTCACGGCGGTCCCGGGCTGGGAGGCCCCAATGGTCCGATGGGAATGGGAGGTCACAATGGTCCTGGTGGTGTGGGAGATCTCAGTAGTCCCTCTGGTATGGGAGGTCCCAATGGCCCCATTGGAATGGGTGGTCCTAACGGCCCCAGAGCAGGCATGAACGGCTCCATGGTCCCGGTCAGTATGAATGGCTCTATGCCGTCTGGCGCTATGAATGGCCCCATGCCCCCGTACAGCATGAATGGTCCAATGCCCTCAGTCAGCATGAATGGCCCCATGCCCCCTGGAAGCATGAATGGGCCCATGCCTCCGGGAGGTATGAATGGGCCCATGCCGCCGGGAGGCATGAATGGGCCCATGCCGCCGGGTGGCATGAATGGGCCCATGCCTCCGGGAGCGATGAATGGACCCATGCTTCCGGGAGGTATGAACGGGCCTATGCATCCAGGAGGCATGAATGGTCCCATGCCTCCTGGGGGCATGAACGGGCCCATGCCTCCTGGAGGCGTGATGGTGGGCCCCAACGGCCCAATCCCTCACAACATGTTCGGAGGTCCCGGTGGCGGTCAGATGGGTCCGATGGGTAGCCACGGACCGATGATGCCCCAGGGCGGCGCGATGGGGCCGGGCATGATGGGCCCGATGGACCCGCGCATGATGGCGCCGCACCAGCGGATGATGGTGCCCGGCATGATGGGGCCAGGCGGCCCGGCCAGCTCCATGGCCGCCCAGATGGAGTGGCAGCGACTGCAGAGCGAATTCTACGACGACCGGCGGCGCAAGGCGCCCGGTGCGCCGGCCAACATGCGCATGATGATGATGCCCAGCCGGATGCAGGGTCCGCCGCCGCCGTACCCGCAGAGCCAGCCGCGCGCGCTGCCCAGCCCCAGCCCGAGCTCGCGTTCGCCGACCACCTCGCTGCCTCGCACCTCCCCCCGGCTGGGCTCGCCGGCCGTCTGTCCGCGCCTGCCCACGCCCGGCCCGTCGCCGCACTCGCTGGCCGGCACGGCGGCGCCGTCGCCGCGGCCGGCGCCCTCGCCCTCGCCGCGCCACCTCAGCAACCCGGGCACGCCGGCGTCGCTGGCGTCGCCGGCGCCGGCCGCCGGCGGCCGTGTGCCGGCGCCCGAGTTCACGCCGCCGCAGAGCCAGCCGCCCGTGTCCGCCGGGCCCGGCAGCACGTCGCCGGCCGCTCCAGGTGGGTGGCGACGGCGTCCGGCAACGGCCGCATCACTCGGTAACAGTGCGGAGGCTCGTCTCCGCCTGCTTGCGTTTAATTGTTTGGTGTTGCTGGGCGACGAAAAATTAATGCGGAAAGTCATACCTGCTCGTGTTGGGCGGTAAATGCTGGATGCTCTGTGTGGCGTTGTGCTTATTTCATTGAAAAGATGGCGCCATTTGCTAAGAAAGGCAGGTCGCTTTACTTTCTGATGCAGGTGTTATGATAGGTCCAATGTTCAATTTATGAGGGTTTAGAAGCTTTTTTAGCCTTGCCAAGCCAAGGTTTAGCCTTGGAAAACTCTAAATGCTGACAGCGTAACGTTGTATGCTGGAAACCGTTATCCAGTGCTTAGTGCTACATTTGAGGTCGATTATAGTGAGCTTAAGAACTCCCAACCGACAACTAAAATTCATTCTGTCCCAGCTGGAGTCTCTGACGCTGTAACACGTCATCCCGGCGTTCTTGCAGGTGACATGTTCGGCCGGTCAGGAATGAACCCGAACTTCCCCGGCCACCTGACCAACGAAGCTAATCTGATGCCCGTGCCTTCGCCCCAACAAATACAGTACATCAACAACTTCGAGGGTCAAGAGCTGACCATCCACAAGCAGGCCAACACGGGCCTGCGGGACTCAGACATCCGTTCACCATCGTGAGTGCGAGGGGCGCCAGGGCGCGGCTAGGGCTGGGGGGGGGGGGGGCTAACGTCAGAAAGCTTCACCATCGTGAGTGCGAGGGGCGCCCGGGCGCGGCCGGGCTGGGGGGGGGGGGGGGGGGCTGACGCCAGATAGCTTCACCATCGTGATTGCGAGGGGCGCCCGGGCGCGGCTGGGCTGGGGGGTGCTAACGCCAGATAGCTTTACCATCGTGAGTGCGAGGGGCGCCCGGGCGCGGCTGGGCTGGGGGGGGGGGGGGGCTGACGCCAGATAGCTGCCCTTGGACGGGGCTGGGTTGCCGAGGGGCACAAGTCGGAGGTGTCGCGCTGGTGAGCATGTGTGAGGGCACAGCAGTGGACGGGTGGCATACGTTCGGTACCGCGGGTGGGTCGTGATGAGGGACGACGGGTGTTATGACATGCGGGTCCGAGGGTACGGCGTGTGCCGGTGCTCTGCTACGTGGTAGCCCGCTGCCCCATCTCTTTCATCGTGCTTGTGCTGTTGGTTGGGAGCCTCACTTGTCCGGTCCGTTCCGGTGTGCGTTCGCAATCACTTAGTACCTGTCCGTCCGTCCCCCCCCCTCGCCGCTGCACGGTAACCTCCAACCCCCCCCCCCCCCAGGGTAGAGATAATGTAGTGGTTAAGCTGTGCGTCTGGGAAACCAAAGGTACGAGGTGTGATTCTCCACGCTCTTGTCCTTCCTGCTAGGGTGAGGAGTCCGACCCGTTAGTTTCAGCGTGTCTGCCTTTTCCTTATATCCTTCTGATATTCCAGGTGCTTCTGCCCTGGTAGTGTCGCGTTTATTTGAGCTGGCAATGTTCGTCGCCGGGCGACCTGCGTGTCCGGCGCTGTTGTTCCTTCGCTGTTGCGTAGGTGTTGTGCACGCAGCCACAGTCAGGGTAGCACTCTGTCCGGTCCGTGTGAGCGTGGTGCGGTTGCCTGGTGACCCCTGTACCGCCTGTTTTGGTATGCCTTCGCCGTTGCCTGGTACCCGTCTGCCTTCCCCTCCCCTCGGTCCTGTGTATGTTCAGGGTGCCTTCGCCGTGCCCCGGTGACGCCCGGCCCCATCCGTTTCAGCGTGCCTTCGCTGTCCGCCGGCGACGTGTCTGGCGAGCCGGCGGCGCCGCAGCTCGTCACGAGCCGTGCCGGCCCCGGCACGCCGCTGACACCGGGCGGTGGCGGCGGCGGCGGCCCGGCGCCCAGCCCGCAGCAGCCGGCCGGGCCGCCGACGCCCGGCAGCGCCGACGGCAAGGCCCGCTTCCCAGGCCGCAGTCCGGGCGGGCCGCGCACGCCCGGTGCCGGCGGTGACGCCCGCTTCCTGGCGCCCAGCCCCAAGCCGGCGGGCTTCCCCGGCTGCGGCCCGAGCATGCTCGGCAGCCCGCGCATGCCGTTCATGGAGCCGATGCCGGGCCGGCCGGGCGAGCTGGACCTGCCGCTCGGCCACCCGCACCTGCCGCTCAACCCGCGCCAGTCGCCCGCGCTCGCCCCGGACAAGATGTTCGACCCGATCTCGTCCATGGTGCAGATGTCGCAGCAGCTGGGCGGCGGCGGCGGTGGCGGCGGCCCGGGCCCGCCCGGCCCACCCGGCCCGCCCGTCTCTAGCACGGCGGGCGCCTTCCTCTCTGGCGGGGGCGTGGAGTGTGGGCCCGGCCTGCCGCCGGCCGCCGCCAGTCCGCGCCTCATGCCGCCCTGCTCGGTCCAGCAGCCGACGGCGTCGCCGGGTCCGGCCGGCCGCGGCATGCCGCCGGCTCAGCCGTTTGGCCCCGGGCCGGGCATGGCGCCGCGCATGGCCGGCCCGGGCCGGCCGGCCGCCGCTGGCCCCGGCCCGGGTCCCGGCCCCGGCTCCGGCCCCGGGCCCGGCCCCGGCCCCGGCTCCGGTTCCGGCCCCTACAGTGGCGCCAGCGTGCAGGTGAAAGCGAGTGCACCCAACACGATCCAGTACTTGCCGACGCGACCGCAGACGTCCAGCGCGGGACCACGTGGACCGCCCAGCCTCGAGTTCCTGCAGCGCTTCACCGGGCCCGGCGGAGTCAGCCCCGGCGCCATGGGCATGATGGCCGACCAGGGCGGCCCCATGCCCGGCCAGGGCGGACCCATGCCCGGACAGGGCATGCCCATGACCGTGCCCAGTGGGCCGATGAGCGGCGGCGGCGTGCCCATGGGAGGACCCATGGCCGGCGGTGGCGTGCCCATGGGCGGACCGATGGGCGGTGGCATGCCCATGGGCGGACCGATGGGCGGCGGCATGCCGATGGGAGCGCCGATGGCCGGCGGCAGCCACATGGGAGGACCGATGAGTGGGCCGATGTGCGGCGCCGGCCCCATGGGCGGACCGATGAGTGGTGGTGTGTCGATGAGTGGACCGAGTATGAGTGTGAGCGGCCCCATGACCGCCTCGAACTCCATGTCGATGAGTGGGCCCGGCGCTCCCATGATGGGCATACCCGGCGGGCCCATGGGCGGCATGCCGATGGGCGCTGACCCGCGGCATGGCGGGCCTATGGGCCGCCAGATGAACATGATCATAGGTCCGAACGGCCCCATGATGAGCGGCCCCATGCAGCCGGGCTTCGGGCCGCCGATGGGCATGGGCCCCGGCGGGCCGGTGATGGTGTCTGGCGGCCCGATGCCGGGCCAGATGGTGCCGCGTGCCGCTATGATGCGCGGCCCCAGCCCCAGCATGGCCATGGCCGGCATGGCCGAGCCCATGTTCGGGCCCGGCGGGCCGCAGCCCATGATGGCCGGCGGCGGACCGACGCCGGCGCCCGCCATGTTCGGGCCCAAAGGCGGCGCAATGGCGCCGATGGGCGGCGGCCCGGGCGCGCCCGAGGCCGCCCAGCCGCTGCCGCCGTCCATGGGCCAGCCGGGCGCCATCAAGACTGGACAGTTCGGCTGGTACCACTGACCCGTCGCCGGCGCGCCCGGCCGCCCGACCGCCCCGTCGCGCCCCGCCGGTCCTGTGATGGTGCAATAAGAGCGATATTTCCTGTCGGTTGCGCGCGCAGTCGCCGAGTGGCCGCCGACCGGCCGCGTGGCGCCGCTGGAGTCTCCGTCGTGGCACGGACCGCCGCCGGTCGCCGCGCGTCGGCCAGGCGCCGCTCGGTCCGCACAGTATTACGACAGAGGGGGGCGGGGCAGGGCGGGCGGAGCTGGCCGCCGGCCGCCGGCGGCGGCGCTCGTCAGCGCCTGACGACGCGCGTGTCCTCGTCTTGGTCTGTTGCACCGGCGCACAGGCGGCTCATCACAGTGTTCGCGGAAACGGCGCGTGTTAAGATTATTATTTTGAAGAGTGTTTTTTAGACGATTTGTACAGTGTTCACCGCCCCTGTACAGGCAGCATCGCTCGAGACGGCTCAGTATCCATTATTCATTACTTGTGTATCTAGGTTGTACGTGTACATTTTTAATATATGATGCTGGCAAACCCGGTTTTTGTTGGTGGCACTTTCGTTGCCCTGGGGTCCCTTTCAGCATAACGGCAGTCTCGTTCGTGCAGCGTTCAGTGACTCCATGGCGTGCTGCGCTCAAATCAGGTCGAAGGTTCAGGGATGCAGGCTGATTCGGAGAGAGATAACGTCTGCACTAGCAGGAAGGGTGCCGCTCTGTGGTCTTTACCCAATCGTGACAAGTGCAGCGACAAGTTTTGACAGAGGGGGGGGGGGGGAGCTCTCGTTCAACCACTGGTGAATATTTTGGGGCTACATGTGGGATAACAAGTAACTGAAGCCGTCCTGAGTTGCTGCTGACGCGGAGGCGCCCGCACAAAACTAAGCCGAGGCTGCGCGGGCGCTCAGGGGTTTCCGACCAGGGTGGCCGTGGGCCCAGCTCGGCACACTCCCGGCGAGGAAAACGGCTGCGAGCGCGCGGGGTGAGGCGGTGCGAGTGGATAAGAGCGGCCTGGCGCCTTAGAACGGCACTGTGACACCAGCGATGTGCCCGCGGCAGAATGTCACAGGTTTTGATCCTTGAAGTCAAATTACGCGTCACTTTTCGGTTGTTGAAGATTAAAAATAGATCCCCGAACTCGTCAATGACTGTTAGCGTTGTGTCACGCAACGCGGCTCAACTGCGCAACTTATCTTTCGCACGTTCCTATAAAAAGGAGCACAACTGGTTCATCTTCAGAGTGAGAAGTTCCAGTTACACTACAAGAACTTACGGCAATTGTAGCAGTGCACCTTGCACTACGCTAAGGCTTCTGGGCCACATGATCCTCAGGACGTCAGCTTCATCATAGGTGCTAGTTTTGGCCGTCGACTAACCCGCTAAGGCAAAGGTGGGCTACGTCTGAAACGCCAATCCTGCTCGAGTTGTCACCTTTCAGCTTCATCTGAATTTGTATATATATATATATATATATATATATATATATATATATATATATATATTGGGGTACAAGTGGGATTGCAAGTAACTGAAGCCCCCTCCCCCGAGTTGCCTCCGACGCTGAGGCGCTCCGCACGGAACTAAGCCGAGGTTGTGCGGGTACTCAGGGGTTCACGACACCGATATTTATGTATTGTATGTATATATACATATATATATATATATATATATATATATATATATTTATATATATTGGGGTACAAGTGGATTGCAAGTAACTGAAGCCCCCTCCCCCGATTGCCTCCGACGCTGAGGCGCTCCGCACGGAACTAAGCCGAGGTTGTGCGGGTACTCAGGGTTCACGACACCGATATTTATGTATTTGTATGTATATATACATATATATATATATATATTATATATATAATAATATATTGGGGTACAATGGGATTGCAAGTAACTGAAGCCCCCTCCCCCAGTTGCCTCCGACGCTGAGGCGCTCCGCATCATATATATATATATATATATATATATATATATATATATATATATATATATATATATATATATATAGTTATATATAGTTCCAAACGCTTCTAACCAATCAATCGTCTGCCCGAAACACTGGCACGTTATCGTGTCTCAACCGGGCTGCCAGAAAACGTACTTTGGGTGTGCATTGTACGAATGCTGATGCAGTGTCACCTCGCAATATCCCCTTGACCATAGAAAGTGGCTTTTATTATCCTGATGAAGGGCGATATCACATCTTGAGAGGCACCGGCATCAGAACGATGTAGTACTGTCGAACAACCGGACTGCCCCATTGCACTAATGGCCGGTTCTGGACGACCGGGTCCGATTGTCTTGCTCTTTGACACACTGCCAAGCGCCCGCCTCGATTCTTCTTGGCACCTATTGCCCGTAAGTGCTTGGTTAGCGGACATGTCATTCTGAGCTCCCTCCACAACAGCGCTTCACACTCCGGAAACAACCAGAACACCGATTGGCTGAGTTTATTCGAGCCGTAATGAGTTTGGCTTCTTCATTAAGGTGTCCACGGCCATTCTGGTAATGGGCGAACCGCGGCCGGCTGCAAGGCCAGAGACAGGGGAGCGGCCAACGGCTAACAGGAAGCGCTTACCTCGCATCACTGTCGTTGCTCTGGAGCCATGCGATACTCCCCCCCCCCCCCGCATCGGCAGCGGCAAGGATATTGTTTTGTCTGTCCTCCCCACAACCACGATCTGAAATGCCCCTCTCCCCCCCTCCCCCCCCAACCATCAGAACACCAGTTTGCCCCAGAGCTGAGTTTTGGCAGGCCTTCTTTGCCGTCGTATTCTGACAACGCTCCGGGCCAGACAATCTCACTGTTAACCAAAGCCCGACAGACAACCGTAGGGCACGACGCACAATATTTAGCGTGCGGCGCTGCGAGCAACCGTCCTGGTCGTCCTATTCAGTTCTATAGAATGGCGTGCCGCCATGCGCTAGCGCAAGCGCAAATGAAGTTCATGTGCACAGATCTTGTGATGGTGTTCATAATACATACCTATCTCGTCGGTTTTCGGTGACACATGTCTCAGCAGCGTACCCTCGACCCATCTGCTTCGCTAAAGCTCGTCAGTTTCCCCGGCAGCTGTCAGGGAGTAATTACCAATGGTCATGGTACACACAACCATCTGCATTCCTTCTGACCGTACGTGCAGTAAAAAAAAACGGACACGAAGCCACTGAAATCGCATATATACATATATATATATATATATATATATATATATATATATATATATATATATATATATATATATATATATATATATATATGCCTGTTGCATTGGCGCAGCGCATTGACACAACCGATGTCATTTAGGCACGCGACCTCCACCCCCATGCGGAAACGGTAGAGCAAGACGTGCTACACGGTTCCACGCGGCGGGTGTAGCATCCAATCCAACATGAATATAGTACACCATGGATTTCGATCGAGTCAATAACGGACGTAAACAAGGGAAGTCAAAATGGAAGAGTCAAGAGGACCATTCGCTCCGCGTGGCTAATTCACGCCCACACGAGTACAATTGATTCTTACCTCCGCACAACGCAGCAACATGAGCGCAATCGATACCTATACGTACCATTTTGATACCCACATTTGATCCTCTAGTCATCATCTGGCTATCATACACAGCACAATGACTACAGCAAGTTCCAGCGTCGAAGTACACGAGAGAAACCGTCGAAAAATAGCTCAGATTTTCATCACGCACAGGCACGCTAACGACACGCGCGAGTCCAGAGCCCCCCCCCCCCCCCCCCCTCCCCCGCTGGCGGCAGCGCCCCGGTGCACTCCCTAAGCCGGCTGCGGGGCCGGCTTCTTGTCACCCTCGCCAACAGCGGGGGCGACGGCGGGAGCGGGGGCAGGGTCGGTGTCAGCGTCGGTCTCCGCGCCGCGGAAGAACCCCTCAGCAGTGGGACACTCGCGGATGGTGACGGTGCCAGCGTCCACCGTCACGTCCGTGATGACGATGCGGTCCATGAGCGGGTTGACGCGGCGCCAAAACTCGGCGGGTGGCATCACCAGCTGCTCGTCGGCCGGCTCGGCGCGGCGCCGGCCGCGTTCGGCCGGCTCCGGCGGCCGCGGCGGGATGATCTTGATCTTGGGCGACTTGGGCGGCGCGTCACCGGCCTCGGCCGACGCGCGGCGCGGCGACAGCTTGGCCAGCTTGGCCGACGGCGAGCGCGGCCCGGTGGTGGAGATGGTGACGCCGATCTTGCCGGCGTCGTTCAGCAGCTCGGCGCGTCGCTTGCCCGGTCTCTCGGGCTCCGGCTTGTCATCGGGCTCATCGCTGGGTTCGTCGGCCTCGGCCGGCTCGTCGGGCTCGGCAGGCTCGGCCGGGCCGGCGCGCTCGTCGGGCTCGCGCAGCCGGCGCGGCCGTGGCCCGCGCCGGCTCGGCGTGCCGTCCCGCTCCTTCTCCTTGCCCTGGAACGCCTCGATCAGCCGCTTGTCGAGAATGTTCTCCTCCGGCTCCCAGGTGTTGTACTTGGGGCTCCATCCCTTCCACTTGACGAGGAACTCGACGCGGCCCTTGCGGTAGCGCCGCTTCTGGATGCCCTCGGCGGCGTACACGCCGGTGGGCAGGCTGCCGATCTTGTCACTCATCGGGCCGGCGCGGCGGCGGCCGCTCGCTCATCAGCCACACCTGCACATGATGGTCATAATGAGTTCCCTGAATGTCTTACTGAGAGTCACTGGAAAAAAAACATGCTGAAATAACATGCTGATACCCCAGGACATCAGTGTATCAAATTCACCTTTTACACAGACATTAAACAATGGCATACATTGGCATATGATTGAAACAAAACAGAAATGGCAGAAATAGGAACAATACCAAGTGAAATGGTGAAGTAAAATTTCAGTCCATGACAAATGAGGCCATGTATATTAAAGACAAGTTATTTTTAGCATAAACATTCTGAATCATCCAAGATAGGGTGGCATAGGCCTTTCTAGCTTAATAGCATGATAATCATGTCAGCACTTAACAGCATGCATTTCACTAGCCATTTACACACTTAACCTTAACTCTTCTTAACTCTTCTATTAGAACACAATTAAAGTGGGCCTGTAATTCCACCTGCTTGCATTTATACCGTTTTATCCCCTTGTGGCTGACAGTCTCAAGAGCTCATGACTAGGAATGCAGTCAGCATATATAAAGCAGAGAGTATTGATACCACTTATTTCTGATTTTTTCCTTCCATTCCTCATCATTTGCTTCAAGTCATCAATAAGTTTGCATAGTCATCATGACATTCCATCCTTTTTAGTTTCACTGCTCTACGAAAATGGGTGACTGGATGACATATCTGGAAGATATTAATAGAACTTTGAGGCCTCATGCATTCCAGCAGTCAGGTGTTCTGACAAGACATAATGTGCCGATATTTCAAATAAAGTATTACTAGCTCAGGTTGCAGGCATGACACTTAAAACACCTGCAAGGAATGTGTGCTTCACATGGATTTAACTTACATTCAAATAACAAGTACATAACATGGATAAGCCAACAATGATTACTATAACTTGTCATGTTTAGCATGCAACAAATGAGATACAAGCCTGAAAAATACTAAGACAAGACATCATGCTGCCACTGGTAGGCTCTGTCTATCATGGGAGATAACATAGGAAAAGAGTTACTTGATGGTCCAATACTTAAACATATTAACAGATACCCCAAAAGTTATATGTTGCATGGAGATATATCACACATCTTGAAGATTATATAGATCTCAACGCACCTGGCATTCATCTAGTACCTGCAATATGTGTAGTCTTGATATTCAGTATGAATTCTGTGAAATGCTTTTACCATAAACATGCAATGGCATTTGGGCACTAGACCTTGACAGTGTTCTATATCAAAGACCTCAAATGCAGTGGCCAAGTACAAAAGTGAAAATATTTCATCATTCTGCATCCAGTGTGGCTGATAAGTTGCACTCTGGAATCATTATCCACTTTTATGTTGGAATCATAAAAGTTGTGACCTCCAGGCTGGCTGGCTGGGAATGATTCATGATATGCACACAAGCCTAACAAACTCTTTTCTTAGTACCATTCATGAAAAATATTATGAAGACACAAAAAAGTCTGGAATTTCAGTCATCAAACTCAGTATTATTTGAAACAGATTGCACATGCGACAAAAAACGACACAGCGCAGGCCCCAGCTCAGATGAACCCAATGCCTCATGCACTCTAGTTCTCGAAAGGCACCACGCACTATATTCTTAGCAATCCATAGCGCAGGCTCCAGCTCAAATGAACCCAATGCCTCATACTCTCTAGTTCTCGAAAGGCACCACGCACTATATTTTTAACAATCTACTGTGGGACCAATCGTCTTTTTAACACTTGCATAGTATTAAACTATTGTCATTACGTACCAAGTTAGCACCAATGCCAGCCAGTCCCTCGGACCAGCGTCAACGCCAAGCCAGACCCGCCGTCAACAACGTTCTGTAGCCGTCGGCGACTCAGGCGGAATGGCGGTATCTGGCCACACTATTCGATAATAACAACTTAAACTTCTTGAAGCCTTCTACGCTTAATAAATGGGTTGTAGTAGTTTTTAATTTTGCTTATTTGTTTTATGAATCCTATGTGGCAATCTCCTGCGCTTGTTACCAAGAAACCTACTTTAATAAGCAAGTTATTTTATAAGTCCGCTTGGTGCGGCACAACAGCAAAGTGTGTTTAACGTCCGGCAGACGCGGCATATTTGGCGCTTGTTTTGGAAAGAGGGTTTGTAGCCTCGGTGCTTAGCAGTCCGCAGGAAGGGGGGAGACCGGTGTGGGCCGGGGAGCCATAACGCTGGCACTGCAGAGTGCCAAAAGTGTAGGAGAAGTGTCATTGTTAGGGGACGAGCTTTGACCAAAGCTACGTCTTAGGCGAATGTCCTTAACTGAAGCGCAGTTACTTGTGGTCTGGAGCTGTTGGGTGTAGGATCGCCCTCCATCACAAGATCATCCCTTCACTTGCTGTCTCATTTTATTTTGTGTGCATTGTTTGTCGTTTGATTTTTATGCTTTATTGCCATATAAGTGCAATATCTATGGCTGAGGTGTACCTATACACATCCCATACAAAAAAATAGATGGTTGATTTTTCTTGTTTTCATATCTGTTCTGACTATTGGTCTAGCCAGGATGTTTTCCATCCATGTGTGGGCTAAGTACAAGCTGTGAGTTGTACTTAAATCAAATGTGGTGTAAAACACATAGGAAAAGTCACATTTTTAGCTAATGCACCAAGCTGACTAATATTTTTGCATGTCTTCTGAGCTTGCCATGAGCTCAGATTTTAGTCAGAAATGTTGCTGTCCTCTTGGACCACCAGGTAACCTTGAAATCTTTGAGCAGTGAGAGAAAGAAATAAAGGCAGTTGGCAGACAGCCTGATGTATTTCATCACAGTGTGGTTTGCCATCACTGTGGTACATGCCTGCTTTTGAACTATTTACCTGGTTTTAGGTCTAGATGTTTTCTGGTCACTTCTAGCTTTTAATCATTTACCATGTGGCTTTAGTTTCAAAATATACAGTGATGTCATTGACCACCTCACATGGCACCCAAATTTGAAATATGTAATGCAGCTCATACCCATGTCTTGTATATTTTCCACCATGCTGTGGGGCTGTTTTTTGGTACCTGACTTGTACCACCTATGTGCTTATGAGTACCTTTTTCAGGTTTTACATTTTACTAAGTATTGATGGAAAGAAATAAGCATGGCATTGGTCCATCCAAAAGAGGTGGGAAGGCAAAGTCCATGGCCCCTCTCCATGGAGACCTTATTGCCTTGGGCTCAAAAGGAGCTACAAGACTGGAAATGGAATCCAAACACCAGCCATCTGCACAGATGAAACCAGGCAACATCCTGCTCTGTAAGAATGTGATGTGTGTTTAGTTTGAATGGTTTGATTTTCATGTCATGATTTAGGTGTGTAAATGCATAGAATTGTATCCATAGAATTTTATGCAATTGCATCTTAGTAGCAGTTGTTTTCTAAATGGAACAATGATTGTCTTAGGCCTGAGATATTCAACCCATCTGTTTGTCTAAATGCTATAAATGATGGCAGATGCATATTTTACTTCATATCCATGTAGTTGATATACGGGATAGTTATTTCGTGAATGTTTTGGTTACCAGCTAAATCTGAGAAGAAAATGGAGCCTGGAACATCTGGCCTGCTGAAAAAACCAAAGCCACAGCTGGGCATGACTGCAGGTGGAAGACCACCAACAGACAGACAGGTAATGTTATGATATATATATATATATATATATATATATATATATATATATATATATATATATATATATATCTGTGTGTGTGTATGTGTGTGTGCGTGCGTGCGTGCGTGCGTGCGTGCGTGCGTGCGTGCGTGCGTGCGTGCGTGCGTGCGTGCATGCATGCATGTGTGTGTGTGCATGTGTGTTTCATAAATGTTTTGTGATGCTGATGTGTACCATATATCTTCAGAGAAGCAGATGGAATGCAAAGGTCCAAATTAAATATAAGCATCCACTCCAGCGAGCGTCCATCTGTCAGCGGCTCAGTGTCCATACATGATTGCTTTCTTTCGCCAACAAGCCCCCCATTGAACCCCAGCTCAGCCAAAACCCCATGCCCTGGCGATCCCAGCCCAGTCCACAGTAGATCCTTCCCCCTCTGATCGGCCGCGCTGCCGTCCGTGCAGGCGCCGCGGCCGGCCGAGACGGAGGCGTGGCTGGCGGTGGCCGTGGAGCTGCCGGCCAGCGCCGACCTGGTGACGGCCGTGGCCGAGGCCGACTTCCTGCGCGCGGAGGCGCTCATCTGTGGCGCCGTGCGCCAGCTGCACATGCAGCGCGCCAAGCCCGAGCCGGGCCTCACCATCAGCCTGCTGCTGCTGGCCAAGACCCAGCCGGCCGCCTTCTGCTCGGAGACGGCGCTGGCCGCCGTCTGCTCACTGCTGCGCCGCGACGCCGCCGCCAGCTTCAAGTCCAAAGGCAACCCGCAGGTGCAGGTGCTCGCCGCCAATCTGCTCTACTCGGTGTTCCGCGACGAGACGCACTGGAAGGAGATCTTCGTACGGGTGAGAGTCTGCCGCGGCCGGACTGGGTCCGGGCGTCGACCGTGCCGTGGCCGGGCTGGGTCCCGGCGTCGACCGTATGCGGCGGCGGTGAGAGGCCGCCGCGGCCGGGCTGGGTCCGGGCGTCGACCGTGTGCGGCGGCGGTGAGAGGCCGCCGCCGGGCTGGGTCCGGGCGTCGACCGTGTGCGGCGGCGGTGAGAGGCCGCCGCCGGGCTGGGTCCGGGCGTCGACCGTGTGCGGCGGCGGTGAGAGGCCGCCGCCGGGCTGGGTCCGGGCGTCGACCGTGTGCGGCGGCGGTGAGAGGCCGCCGCCGGGCTGGGTCCGGGCGTCGACCGTGTGCGGCGGCGGTGAGAGGCCGCCGCCGGGCTGGGTTCGGGCGTCGACCGTGTGCGGCGGCGGTGAGAGGCCGCGGCCGGGCTGGGTTCGGGCGTCGACCGTGTGCGGCGGCGGTGAGAGGCCGCCTCGGCCGGGCTGGGTCCGGGCGTCGACCGTGTGCACTGTCCGTGCGGTCGGTGGCGCTGTCCGCGAACACGCAGCGGCAATGTGATGTCGAATGATGGTTGGTTGCGGCGCTGGCTGCAGCCCATTTGTCCCAGATGGAATGGTCTGTCAGGAGCGGTCTTGAACGCGTTAGAGCTACTGACGTAGTATCAATGCCTCGACGCTCTCTGTGCGTTCGCATCGGTCGTCGCGAGCGTCGCGGCTCCCGTCGCGGCCGCGCAGCCGCACGCGCGGCCCCCAGCCGCGTGCCGCCGCGGCTGACCGGGCACGTCCGCCGCCAGGTGTACCTGGACGACGCGGCCGGCGACCGGCTCTGGGTGGACAGCGAGGAGTGCCGGCCGTTCGTCGACAACGTGGTGACGGCGTTCGGCACGCGCGTCTCGCCCAAGTCGATGCTGCAGCCGGACATCACACTGAGCGCGCGGCCCGACTGTCCGTCGCCACCCGGCGCCTGTGGGTGGAGATACCGCCGAGCTACGAACTCCTGGAGGCTGAAGTCGTCCTGTTGACACTAGCTGCTGGAGTCTTAAGCTTTGCCCTCCTCTTGCGCTTGGGACCCTGCTGGGAGTGCTGTTCATAGACCTGAATGGTTTGAGTTTTGCCATGTAAGGAGCATGTGATTGTTGTTGCCATTGTGGTATGCGCCCATTTGTTCTCAGCGTGGTGTTGTCCAAGGCACCTGTTCAGGCGCATGCTGTCTAGGCGCCATTTCGTCTGAACAGCGTTGCGACTGCGCTTACAGCGCCTGCAACAGGATCCCGTTGCAATGAGCGCAGGCCGTGCGGGGCGTTCGCTTCGTGCGCTCGAGCGGTCACGTGACGCCCCGTCGTCCCCGCCGCAGCGTCCTCCAGTTCGGCGCCGGGCAACGACGACGACGACAGCATGGGCTTCAGTATAGTGCTGGACGAGAAGTCGGGCCACACCGTCATGCCTAGGTGAGTCGGCATTCGGGCAGCCCGTCACGGTCGGCGAGCCAAGCTGGCGACCGTGCGTGCTGAGCTGACATCGGCTCGCCCCGTGCGGCGATCCTAGCGGACCTGCCGTGTTTGCGAGCGGTCGTAACGGACCTGCCGTGTGTGCTGGCGGTCGTGACAGGCCTACCGCGTGTGCGGGCGGTCGTAACGGACCTACCGAGGGCGGTCGTAACGAACCTGCCGTGTGTGCGGGTGGTGGTGGCGGACCTCCAGCCATATGGCGCGTGCTCCGGTCTGACCTGCCGCGCCGTGCCGGAGGTCACGCCCTGACCCCCCGCCGCCGCCGTGCCGGGCCGCCTCAGGTACGAGACGCAGCAGGAGCGGATCCGAGCGCTGGTGCTCGACGCCGTGAAGGAGTACATCGGCCCCCGGAAGCAGCCGATCGAGACCGTCACCAGGAACATCCTGCGCCTGCTGGCCTCCGTCTGCGGCATACCGGAGGTGAGCGGGGCCTCCCGCCGCACGGTCGGCGCTGGCTGGCGTCCGCCGTCTGCGGCATACCCGAGGTGAGTGGGGCCTCCCGCCGCACGGTCGGCGCTGGCGCTGGCTGGTGTCCACCGTCTGCGGCATACCCGAGGTGAGCGACCTCCGCCGTACGGTCGGCGATGGCGCTGGCTGGTGTCCGCCGTCTGCGGCATACCTTAGGTGAGCGGGGCCTCCCGCCGCACGGTCGGCGCTGGCGCTGGCTGGCGTCCGCCGTCTGCGGCATACCCGAGGTGAGCGGCCTCTGCCGCACGGTCGGCGCTGGCGCTGGCTGGCGTCCGCCGTCTGCGGCCTACCCGAGGTGAGCGGGGCCTCCCGTCGCACGGTCGGCGCTGGCGCTGGCTGGCGTCCGCCGTCTGCGGCATGCCTGAGGTGAGTGGGGCCTCCCGCCGCACGGTCGGCGCTGGCGCTGGCTGGTGTCCACCGTCTGCGGCATACCCGAGGTGAGCGGGGCCTCCCGCCGCACGGTCGGCGCTGGCTGGCGTCCGCCGTCTGCGGCATACCCGAGGTGAGCGGGGCCTCCCGCCGCACGGTCGGCGCTGGCGCTGGCTGGTGTCCACCGTCTGCGGCATACCCGAGGTGAGCGGCCTCTGCCGCACGGTCGGCGATGGCACTTGCTGGTGTCCACTGTGCGTGGGATGGAAGCCGCCGCCGCATAGAGGCGACAGCTGCTCCTTCCCTGCTTCCAGGCCTAACTTGCGGCTATGGGGATGGCACGGAAAAAATATTTAAAGGAAAACTACATGTAAAACGTGATGCACCTTCAACTCTCGACTGTGGCAGTACCTGCGCTGGCATTGCGCACACGTTCTTTATTGCGAGCATGCTGACCACTGGTGTGGGGGGGGGGGAGGGGGGAGGAAGGGGGAGGCTGATTGTTGCGTCATGTAGTTCGTGATCTGCTTTTCTGACGTGAAGTTTGAATCGGCTGGTATTTAGGTGGTGAGTTGTGTCATGCGGCACATACCCTGCGCTGGCCGTCCAACCAGCTGTGACGGTCGGTCCGTGCCTTGTGCGCGGCAGGTGCGCCAGCGCGTGGTGTCCCGCCTGGAGGTGTGGCTGCAGAACCCCAAGTGGTCGCGGCCGGCCCAGGAGCTGCTCGTCTCGCTCTGCACCAATCTGACATCGCACACCCAGTTCGACACGGACGTCATCTCGCAGCTGGTCCGCTTCAGACTCAAGGCCAAGCCCATCATCAACCTCTACCTCAACTGCATGAGGTGCGCCCGGACCGTGCTGTCGCCACGCTCCCTCCCGTCCGGCCAACTCCTAACTGAGCAGCAGAAAACCTCCGGAGAGCTATGATTGGAGAGCGCTACTCGATGATACTTTGCCTCGTTTGTGTTCTGGGTTGAAGCCGTTCCATTGATTACCTGGCATGTTCCGTAACGTAGTGTCAGTAAAGATGAAATGCTGCGTATTCTTGTCCCGTTATACGTTCCGCGCGCGGCGACATCCGAGGCGGCGTGACTTAGACGTGTGACGATCGCATCGCTTGCTGGCAGGGAGCTGTTGGCGGCGCACCCGGAGAACATGGCCACCCTGCTGAAGCACACCATCTACAATGAGCTGTCGCAGGCGCGCAACCCGCACAACATGGCCGTGCTGGGCACCGTGTTCCAGCACTCGACCCAGCAGGCGGCTGGCATCCTGGCTGAGGTGTTCCTGGTAAGTGGCGGCGGCGGCGGTCGCTGGGACTCCGGGGCGAGCCCTGACCCGGTCTCGGCCAGGCAGATGATTAAGACAAAATGTTGCAAGAATTTGTTGATCTCTCCAGGTCCCGGGAGATGGCCAGGCAGATGAGGTCTGGCAGGAGCTGGGAGATGGGACTGGTGGGAGCTACAGTCGCCATCGGACCGGGGGTTGACGGCGTCTGTGCTTGCCGATGCGCAGGAGCTGCTGCTCAACAAGGACGACTACTACCTGCGTGCGCTGCGACCACTCTGGAGGGAGATTTGCCGCTCACTACGCTACGAAGTGGACTTCTTTAAGTTCTGTTCTGGGCTCTTCCAAGATAGAAAGGTGTGAACTGCGTGCGGACTTTTTGTGCCCGTGTGCCGTTTAGTATTTGCTGGTGCACGGACGTAGCAGTGTGTGCACGTATGTAGCTGGTTATGTGTTCATTTATCGGCGACTTTCCATGCACATGGTACTTTTTGGTGGGTCTCGACGTATGACACAAGTCACCGTCCTCTCTCTCCTTTCTCGTCAAACATTGACCAGAAAGTTCGTTAAACATTGACGAGTTAACATAAACTCGTTAAACATTGCGTCACATGGTCTGATATAAAAAGCACACGACCTCTAAGTGTTTGGATGATTGTCGCTGCTCAGGGCGGACTTCAGCCTCCTCATCGGTACCGTGTGCCGATGGAGTGGCGCGCAGGTGGCCATGTAAGGAATCACTCAGTGCATTATTGCCAGCTGCGGCGCGGTTTCCAGGCATCACATAAAGCAGCGGTGCGTTCGTGTTCCGTCCCTTGCAGTTTCGGGTGCGCGCCGTGGGCCGCTGCGCCGTGTTCCGTGTTGTACCGGTCTCTGACCGCGAACACGCCGCTGGCAGTGGGCGGGCGGTGCGCCGTGTACGTCGACTCGCGGCTTACCGTATCGTGCCGCATCTTGACCATCGTCACGTGCTGCCGGCAGGAGGCGGTGCGCGAATTCGAGTTCCGTGAGCGGTACGTCACGTCCGTCTGCGACCTGGTGTCGCTCAGCATCCTGCTGGCCATTACCGCCGCCGTCAAGGAGGCCGCCTCGTCCCGGCCGGGCGAGAAGCGGGACACGGCCGCGCTCACGGTACGTCCCGGTCCCGGGGTCACGGGCGAGGCCGCGGGTGCTCCGGTCTGTCCCGGGAGGCCGGCCGGATCGCGCCAGTGACAGCCTACCGGCGCAGACGGTGCTCGGCTGTGCCCGGCTCCGCTGTCGCCTGACGTCGGCCGCTACTCGGTTGTGCTCGGCTCCGCTGTCGCCTGACGTCGGCCGCCGCCCCGCTGCCCGCAGGCGTACCAGACGCAGGTGTCGCTGATCCAGCAGGACGCCGTCCAGTGGCTGTACGGGGCCGTGCCGGAGATGACGGCCAAGGGCTGGACGGACTTCACGCACTGCGTCTACAAGGTGCGGCTCGGTGTCACTTCTTGAGTAATGGCCGACGGGGGCTGGCAGGACGGGGAGGGGACGGCAGGGCGCACGGAGTTGCCGGGGTCAGAGACGAGACAGGCGAGCCTCCGTGGGTCGGAGACTGGAGGCGAGGGGTGTGTATGCAGTATTTGGGGAAACTTGGGTACTTTGGTATCTGGAACATTCCGTATAGGTGCCGTGAATACTGCGCAAACTTGTGTAAAGTCTTGGGCAAAGTTCCCTTGTTGGATTCTTCCGAGCTAGAATGCACAGGGGCGTGGCCGGTGTTTCTGATGATCTTTTCGACAACCAAAGATTTTAGAAAGCAGCTGTTGTGTTGAACGCAGCATCATCTTTTTGACAACCAAAGATTTTAGAACGCAGCTGTTTCAGGCTCCCCAGCGTGTGTCGCACTGTGCAGCACATCCGCTGTGCAGGGCCGTGCCCCGCGGCTCCCGTGTCTCCCCTACACACCGCACGCACTGCGCGTCGCCAGGTGCTGTTCATGGAGCCGGCCGAGACGTACCACAAGCACGACAACTGGCCGCCGGAGCCGGAGCGCGCGCTCATGATCCGTGTGGCGTCCGAGGTGCCCGTGCTGCAGGACACCCTGCTGCGTGTGCTGCTTATCGGCCTCTCCAAGGTACCGGGCGGCGGCCGCGCCTTGCACGGCCCGGGTTGACGTGCGCTCCGCCCTGGTCAGCTGATGATCGGGGTCGATCTGTGGTGCCGTTCCCAACGCCGGCCCGGAACTTACCGTTTTCAAGCTGTTTCGAACGCAGCCTGCTCGAGAATGATCCGAGAACTGCCTTGGCACCGCCTCTATCCGGTCCCCGTGCCGCTCGCCGCCCGCTCTGTCGGCAGCTGTGTCTGAGTGGCGGTGCCGGGCTGACAATCAGCTGGTCCGAGAACTGCCTTGGCACCGCCTCTGAGCGGTCCCCGTGCCGCTCGCCGCCCGCTCTGTCGGCAGCTGCGTCTGAGTGGCGGTGCCGGGCTGACACTCAGCTGGTCCGAGAACTGCCCTGGCACCGCTTCTGTGTGTTCCCCGTGCCGCTCGCCGCCCGCTCTGTCGGCAGCTGCGTCTGGGTGGCGACGCCGGGCGGACACTCAGCTGATCCGAGAACTGTCTTGGCACCGCCTCTGTGTGGTCCCCGTGCCGCTCGCCGCCCGCTTTGTTGGCAGCCGTGTCTGAGTGGCGGCGCCGGGCTGACACTCAGCTGATTCGAGAACTGTCTTGGCACCGCCTCTGTGTGGTCCCCGTGCCGCTCGTCGCCCGCTCTGTCGGCAACTGCGTCTGAGTGGCGGCGCCGGGCTGACACTCAGCTGACTGCAGCAGCCCCGGGCGCCGTGACCGGCCGGTGACCCGACGCGTCCGCGGTGTCGGCAGGCGCACCCGATGCCGGCGGCCAACGCGCTGGAGGTGGCCGAGAACCTGGTGCGCCGCTCGGCCCAGTGTCACCTGCAGTCGGAGGGCGCGGCCACCCTGCAGCTCGATAAGCTGGAACTGGTGGACGTGCTGTTCAACCTGACGGTGTACCAGCAGCCCGAGCACATGAGCCTGCCGGAGGGCTACGTGCCGCCGCAATTGGCCATCCAGGAGCGCTACTGGCGGGTCTGGGTCATCCTGCTCATCATCTGCGCTCACAATCCCACCAACTTTGGCAAGATGGCCTGGGAGCACTATGACACGCTTAAGATGTTGATGGAGATGTGTATAACCAAGTAAGCGCGCCGTCAATTTGTTCATTCAGGCCCGGCGGAGATGTGTATAACCAAGTGAGCACGCCGCCAATTTGTTCATGCACGCCCAGAGCCGCTTCTCGGTTGGCGGTAACGACTGTTCATGACGCTCTCGTCTGGTGGCTTCTTACGTGGGCTCCGTGTATGACGCACCAGACTTCCCGGAGAGTCGGCTGCGATTACACGGATCAAATGCTCTTCCTGGGCTGTTTGTGTTCGCCTGTAATGACAATACCCCACATTGTAGAGGAGCTTTGTAGTCTGTACCGTTCTGACTCCTTCGTCACCATTTACCTGGTAGCTCTATGTGCTGATTCATTCGTCACGTGATCCAGACCTCTCCTTTCTCGACACGGACAGCACGTAACGCCTGATCCGGTTTTGTCCAGCTCGTTCCGGTTTCCGCCGCCGACGATGGCGGCCGGCGACCGGGCGGACGAGGCGCGCACCAAGGAGCTGCAGATCGCGGCTATCGAGGGCCGCCAGATCCTCGAGTACGAGTCCCACCTGGCGGCAGCCTCCACCGGCCAGACCATCACAGAGGCCAACAGTCTGCTGCTGACACAGGTGTGGACATGCGTGAGGGCGTCAGGGCCCGCTCTCACACAGGCACTGACTCTTTGATACGGGGCTGACATTCCGACACGACGCTGACCCTCTGACATAGTACTGACATGTTGACACAGAAACTGACGCGCTGACACAGAAGCTGACACGCTGACGCAGTACTGACCTCTGACACAGTACTGACCTCTGACACAGTATGGCTCACTGGCACAGTACTGACCCGCTAACTTAGTACTGACTCGCTGACACAGTACTGACCTGCGACACAGTATGACTCGCTGACAGTACTGACTTCTGACACAGTACTGACCTCTGACATAGTACTGACCTCTGACACAGGAGCTGACAGGAGCCCTGCTGACACAGGAGCTGACCTTCTCACGCAGTACTGACCTCTGACACAGCACTGACCTGCTGACACAGAAATTGACCTGTTGAAAGAATTGTCTGACTGAGATGGGCAGTGGCCTGCTGAGACAGGTACCATTCCACCGGCATGGGTACCAGGCCACTGGTGCATGCTGATCTGGTACTAAGATAGGCTCCCACCGGACTGTGCCTGCCGGCCCGCTGGCACAGGCACGGGCACACTGACTCGGGCACTGGCTCACTGATGCAGGTCCCAGCCTGCTCGCACAGGCACTTGCCCAGTGACGGTGGTACTTACGCACGAATACGGGCACTGGCCGGTTGCTGACACAGATGGAAGAACCGGGGGGGGGGGGGGGGGGGGTCTGAGTTTCCCGACTTTCAGAAAATTTATGTCAGTTTGAGAGCAATGAATAAAAAATGACTATCGGCCATTTCCCCCGCCGGACTTGGAAGGGTCCTTATTGTCCCCGGGGGCTGACCTGTTGCCGATGCCGGTGCCGATCCGATAACGTAGACGGCCCCCCGCTGCCGACTCATTCAGTAGCCGGCAGCTGGCCCACTGATACACCACCAGCCTGCTTCCGTTACGTGCCGCGACGCCAGCTCGGCAGAGGTGCGGTCGGACCGTCTCCGTCCGAGCCGGCCGGCGCCCGGCTGCTCAGCCGGCGTCACCCGCTGACGCCGCCGCCGCCGGCCTGTTGCAGCTGATCTCGCTGGACCCGGGCGGGCCGTGCCGCCGGCCGCCGGCAGCCGTGCTGGAGCAGCTGACGCAGCTGAACGGCACGCTACGGCTAGGCCAGCTGCTTTGCACGTCACGCGAGCCAGACTTCCTGCTGGACATCCTGCACCGCCAGGGGCCGAACCAGAGCATGCCCTGGCTCTCCGACCTGGTGGAGAACAACGAGGGCGCGTTCAGGTGAGACTGGCCGGCGGGGAAGGACGCGCTGCCCGACCTCAGCCAATGACAGCGTGTTGTCGGTCTGGTTCAGGTGGGACTGGCCGGAGGGGAATGACGCGCTGCCCGACCTCAGCCAATGGCAGTCTGCTGTCGGTCTGGTTCAGGTGGGACTTGCCGGAGGGGAAGGACGCGCTGCCCGACCTCAGCCAATGGCAGCGTGTTGTCGGTCTGGTTCGCTAGGGGTATTCACGGCTGCCAATCCCGTGGCTCAAATCATCATCATCGCGTGTGCGCGCCGCGCGTAGGGCGTGCAATAGTCTCGGCTCTCGCTTCGGGAGCGGTCATTGACCCCTCGGTCTGACGATGTCGAGCCTGTGCTGTATGGCTGGTAGCATCAGACTGTGACTGTGAGCGGGCTGGGATGTCCCTGTCTGGTCGCTGAACAGTATGCATTGTTCTGGCTACGCCATGCGAGTCATATCAGCGGTTTCTGCGACATTTGGGGCGTGTTGTGGCCACTGTGTGGAAATGGGTTCTTCTCCACTACCAGCCCATAGCAGCCTGTTGCTATGGTCAGTAACACTTCCATTCAGGCATGCCCACAGCGTGCTGCCTGCTGGTATCTGTTTAGCCTGCATAATGGGTGTTTCTAAAGGCGCAGTGCTCTAGTGACACTCTCCCACTGTGAGTCTGCATCATTTCGCGTGTTCGAGAGTCACTCACTTCGCCTGTTTGAGTTTGATTCACTTACTCCGCCTATGTGTGTGCGTCATTCACTGCGCCGGCGCGTGCCCGCAGTGTCCTGCCAGTGCAGTGTCTGTGCGAGTTCCTGCTGACCCAGTCAGTGGGCACGGTGGAGGAGGGCGGCGCCGCTCGGCCGCCCACGCAGGCCAAGCACCAGCAGCTGCTGTCGCACCTGCAGCGGCTGGTGCGCCACCCGGGCCACGACCAGCGCGCCTACGTCGAGCTGGTCGAGTACTTCCTGCGCAGGCTGAGCTCGCAGCAGCGCCAAGCGCGCCTGCAGGCGGCCAAGGTGCGTTCAGACGGCAGGCGCAGGCGGCGCGCCTTGTCGGCGCCGCGGGCCGACCAGTGGCGGCGACGGGATAGTTGGAAGTGACGGGATCCCAGTCAGCTGACTTGCAGCATTCGTGCCTCGTTGTATCATGGTCCCCCTGCATCGCGTGACGCTAGCGCGGCGTGCCGATGCCGGTGCCCTGTTTGTCGGCGTGCGCCCAGCCCGCCTTCGCCCCGACCGCCCGCGTCGTGTCGGTGCGTGCTGCTCGGACTCCTCGGTGCGACTTGGTCCGTCCGTGCGCGGCCAGGGGTTCGAGCTGGTGCTGCTGCCGCCGGACGTGACGTCATCAGAGGGCCAGGAGCCGTACGCCTGGCTGCTGCGCCATCTGCCGGCGGTGCCCAACTTCTCCCATCTGAGGCAGGGTGCCATACAGGGGCTGAGGATCGCCTGTCACGTGAGTGCCGCTGACACGGGGCACAGCGTCTCCCGCCTGAGACAGAGTGCAGCTTCCCCTACCCGCAGCGGGTACTGAGAACGGAGCCGGCTCCTCGTCACGCATCCGGCGTTGCATCTCCACTCCGCTCTAGTGCGCGACGGGAGCCTGTTCCTTGTCACGCCTTGCACTGCATCCGTCGTCTGCCTCAGTACGGCCATAAGCCTGTATCATGACGCGCCTCACGTTGCCGCCTTCCCTCCTCTCCCCCTCCCCCTCCCCTGCCTGAGGATGAGACAAAGCTTGTTCCGTCACGTCTCGTCGCCGTGCGTGTCCCGTGTACCTCTGTATGAGAGCGTTCTCCATGTACGCGTGGCATGGTGTCTTGCCTCCGCCTCAGTGAGGGACGGAGCCTGTTGGGCCTCACACGCCGTCGTACTGCGGCTCCTGCTCCGCCTCAGGACGAGCCTGGCTCACCCTGATCGTGCTCGTCACACGGCACCCCCGGTCACTGCAGCAGGAGACGGACCTGCTCCGCGTCACGTCCCGCTCACTCCGCGCGCTCGCTCCGCCGCAGTACGAGACGGAGCCGGGTCTTGTGGGCGCCTACATCCAGTTCCTGGTGGCGCACGGCGCGGCCGACCCGCTGCCCGAGCTCACCGAGACGGTGGTGGACCTGGCGCAGCTGGTGGTGGAGCGCAGCAACATCGTGAACGCGCTGCTGCCGACCGAGCCCGGCGCGCTGCCCGCCGCTTACATCACCCTCCGCGCCCTGCTGCACATCTTCAACACCTACATGCAGCAGGTCAGGGCCCTGTTGGGAGATGGGATAGCGGGGAACGAGGGATTGGGTCGTTCTGCAGGTGAGAATTCCGGACCCTGTTACCGACTTGTGACGACAGGAATAGTGCATGTGTGCTGGTACTGTATGCGACCAATTGTATTTGATGCATAGCATTGATGAAAAATGCGAGACCCGGCGTATTTTGAACCATGTAATGCATAATGATGGGAAGCAGTAGTGATGCCCGTGACTTCTGTGCGGAGCGGAAATGGCGCTGACACCCTGCCCGAGTCACAGCTGCGGGTGTGTATGCCGTCGCCAGGTGGGCGAGCCGGACGGCGCCGTCGGCTGGGCCGAGTCGGCCGAAATGGTGCTGGTGCGCTGGTCGTCGGGCCGCACGGCCGCCATCAACACGCTGGTGGTGCAGGCCTCGGTCATCCTACTCACCTACCACCCGGGACCAGGTGTGTGTGTGTGTGTGTTGGCCGATCCGGACCGCGGCGGCCGACTGTGCGCTGGCCGCCGCGGTCTAGTGACCCGCTCCGTGACGGCCGCCCGCCGCCGTGGTTCGGTGCCCCGCTCGGTGTCGGCTGGCCCGGGCTGGCGGCCGACTGCGCGCCGGCCGCCGTGGTCTAGTGCCCCGCTCCGTGACGACCGCCGGCCGCCGTGGTTCGGTGACCCGCTCCGTGACGGTACCTGGGGGTGTGCTGGCACTGGCGTGTATTATGTACTGTCAGTAGCGTGCTAGTCGGGTGTTGCGAGCTTGTGTCTGCGTTGAGCAGTCATCTGTCGGTTGGCAGCATGGTGATCCGCGTTGTGGTGCCTTTCCTCCAGGTCGCCGTTGTGTGTGTGTGGTTAAGTTCGGTGTGATGTTTATGGAAAGTCGTCGCTGTCGCGGTTGCAGCTGGGTCGTGCGCTTTCCGCGCGCTGTGTGGTGTCACAGCGCCGCCAGTCCACCTCTCGTTGCACCCTCCCTCCCCCTCACATCCCCGACTCCCTCTCGCCCTGCAGAGCACGCCCTGTTCGACCAGCTGATCGACCTGTGGTTCCCGGTGTCGGGGCCGCCGCCGCGCGCTCTGGACGCCACGCCGCTGTACCAGGACTGGCTGAAGCTGCGCATGGTGCGCAGCACCACCGCCCGATTGGTGGACGCGGCGCTGGCCGACCTCGAGCCCGCCCAGCTGGTGCTCTTCATCCAGTCGTTCGGCGTGCCGGTGCCCAGCATGACGTGAGTGTCCGGCGGCGGCCGATCGCGGCTGAGGAGGAGCGAACCGGCTTGTGGTGAACGGTGCTGGTGGCTGGCCGCGGCGAGATGTCGCCGGCAGGCGGGGTGTCTCGGACCCCCGGGGTGGAACCGCCGGCTGAGGAGGAGCGGGCCGGCCTCTGGTGGACGGCGCTGGTGGCTGGTCTGGGGCAGATGTCGCCGGCAGGCGGGGTGTCTCAGACCCCCGGGGTGGAACCGCCGGCAAGCGGTGATCGCCGCTGCGTGCCGCGCGTGGCAGTATTGTTTGTGTTCAATCTGGTTTGTTTCACCATCACAATCACCTGGTTTGTTTTCTGTGTGTGTGTGCGAGCCACGTTTCCCGAGTGTGCATGGCTCTGTATGTCAGTCAGCCTGCGCAGTCGGTGCGGTCGGCGCCGCCGCCGAGCCTCTGGATGCGTGGCGCGCCAGCGGGGCCGTCGCGCTCCTGCTGCCCTCGCCCCGCAGGCGGCCTGGGCTGACCCGTCTGACCGGCGCCGCCCGCCGTCGGCAGTAAGCTGCTGTGCGCGCTGGACGCGGCCGTGTCGACGGACCCGGTGGCCGTGGCTGCCGCCGTCATGAACAAGGAGTACATGGCGCAGCTGGTGGAGGTGCAGCACCAGCGCGGCGCCCAGGGCGGCCACCAGTTCGCCGCGATACTCGACACCGACGCGGAAAAGAAGTCACCCGAGCGTGAGTCCCTCACGGAGTGCTGGCTTTGCTGTGGATCATGAGCTGCCTTTATGGTCAAACTCCTTTGGCCACGTATTTTGGCAAGCGACTGGAGTCAATATGTGTGTCGTTGTTCAAGCCGTGCAAACGGAACTGGCAGCAGCTTATGTCACCCTGTTTCGCTCGATAGATGCAGGGAATCCCTTAAGCTCGTGGTTTGTTGACATTGTGAGTTCTTATCTTGATAATAACCGACTCTAAGTATATCAGGAGGTACAGTTTAAGCGTAGACTTCGCAATCATGAGCATCGCATGATCATTAGCACTGCCAGAAGCTTCAAAAATGCTCATGATATATCCCAATGATTGCTTGATGTCGTAATTTAACATGTCGTACCCCGTGGTATATTGATGTACGGTTACTCCTAACACTAGAGCTCCGCGCCCTGTTCCCACGCCGCTGGTGCTGACGGCGCGCCGCGACCCTGTTGCAGCGGTGCTGGAGCTGCCGTCGCCGGTGCGGCCCAGTCCCGTGGCCGTGACCCGGCCGGTGACGGCTCTGGCGCCCTCTCAGGTGCTCTGGTTCGTTCGGGAGCTGTTCGACCAGTCGGAGACTACACACCAGGACCAGCTGCGCAGCCTGCAGCGGGTGCGTGTAGCCGGCCGCGTGGCTCGCAATAGCCGCGTATTGAGCACGTGACCGCAAGTGCTAAGATGTTTAGAGTTGGTGTTCAGAGGCCCAGTGTATTAAGAAAACAGGGTAACATTGACCACACACAGACACTCACAGCACCACACAACAATGCGTGGTGCTTATCGTGTGGTCGTCGGCTAGGGTCCGGCTACGTTCATTGCTGGTTTGACTGTCATGTCGTTTTCTGCGCATGGCGGCAGGCGGTTAGGGGCACTCGTCCTCACATGTTGGTCTCTATTTGCAGTGCATCTCGATGGAGGCCCGCGAGACAGGCCGTCTGGTGACCAAGGCGACGATCGCGGCGTTGCTGCAGCTGCTGAGGGAGGACGGCGGCGCGGCGTTCCTGAGGCAGCTGCACACGCGACCCACGGCCGCCTGCTGTCTGCTGCGGCTCCTCACGGCCGTGGTGGGTACCGTTCATTCGCTCGCTCGCTCGCTCGCGCGCTCACGCACTCAGTCACTCAGTTTTTTACTCAGTCACTACTCACCCACTCACTCACTCACTCACTCACTCACTCACTTGCTCACCCACTCACTCACTCACTCACTCACTCACTCACTCACTCACTCACTCACTCACTCACTCACTCACTCACTCACTCACTCACTCACTCACTCACTCACTCACTCACTCACTCACTCACTCACTCACTCACTCACTCACTCACCCTTTCAGTCAGTCAGTCAATCCGCTTCATGGGCCGAGACTGCCCTGTATGCGTCAGCTGCTCACAGCCGTGGGAGGAGAGCTCGTCGTCGTCGTCTCACAGACCCGAACTGCTGTTTCCCTCGGCTCCTCGCAGTGGTGACATTCCCTCATCTCCCTCCCTCCCGCCCTCTTTCTCGGTCACAGACTGCGGCGCGGGCATCGGCTCCTCACAGTGGCATAGGTGACCTGCCCTTCCTGGCAGGGCAGGGCCGGCATGCTTCACATGAAGCTCACCTGAACGCTGATCTGGATATAGATTCCGTCCGCAGCAGTTGTCGCCGACAAGCGGCTTTCTGCGGATTGGAGCCGATGCCCTTAGCCGCACACACGGCTGCTCGGAGTCCTGTCTGCGATCACCGCGGTTGACAAAGACTGTCCTGCGCTCCCCCGCGTGTCGCACACGCCTGCACCGTGACCCGTGGCGTCCCGGCCGCCGCTCCAGTGTGTCTGATCTGCGCCGTGACGGCGGCCGTGACGCCCGCCGTGACGGCCTCGGCTGCGCCGCCAGGTGCGGCCAGAGTCGCCGCTCAGCGCCGACCTGCTGACCGTGTGCGAGATGATCGTGTCGCGCTCGCCGGCGCCGCCCGGCCCGCTGGTCACCATCTGCCAGACGTACCGGCGCCAGCAGCGGCGCGCGCCGGCCGCGCCGCGTCGCCCGGCCGCCGCCGCGCTCGACGACCAGCAGCTGGCCGAGCGTGAGTGTAGCTGGTCAGCTGTTGGCTGCCAGTCCCGGCCCGGAGCACGAGCAGGGTTTGGTGGGCGTCAGGCCGTGATGACGCAGCGGACGGATCAGTTCCATGTTGCAGTTTCGGGGTGTGCTTTGTGAGTGCGGGGACAGATGGTCTATGAGACTTGGTTTACGTCTTATAAAGTTCGTGGCTTTTCATGACGCGAAGTGAAAACGTTGAACAAGCCCTCCGCTCATGCCATACCTGCCCTTTATTAGTACGTCCCTGTCTGAATGGGTCGCGATTCGGTCGTGACCGGCCGCCGTCTCCGGCAGTGATCTCCGACACGCCGCCGGCCCGGATGGAGTCGACTGTGCGCCGGCTGGTGGATGAGTGTCTAACCACGGAGCGTACACCTCACCTGGTGGCGGCCATTTCGCGCTGCCTGCTGCGCCACAACTCGGCCACCGCTGCCGCCGCCGCCGCCGCCGCCGGCGCCGGCGCCGGCGCCGCCCCGGCCATCATCGGCCCCGATGCCGACCCCGGCTCCGGCTCCGGCCCCGGCTCCGGCTCCGGCCCCAGCCCCGGCCCCGGCCCCGGCCCCGGCTCCGGCTCCGGCTTCGGCTCCGGCTCCGGCTCCGGCCCCGGCCCCGGCTCCGGCTCCGGCTCCGGCTCCGGCTCCGGCTCGGGCGAGGTCAAGGTGAGGGGGCGCGTGGCCCGGCGGCAGGTGAAGCGGGTCTGGACGTCGGCTGACGGGGACTGCTGTGCTATAGTGTTCGGGGTGGCGGTGTGGGCTGGATTATCGATTTGTTGGGCTCAGCGAGTTCCGTCACACAGGCCAATGGGCTGAAATCGGGCCTAACAACATTAACTCTGCAAATTTTAGTACCGCCAAACTGCATGTGTAAAAACGCCCGAACGTGTAAGGATAAAAAACTTGGGCAGCTCGCGCGAAACCCGGAAGGCTGCGCTCTGCTACCGACACACATTAAACCATCCGGGCCGCTTCCAACCTGGCCGATCGCTACAGTCTTGCGCGTCGTCTCGCCAGATGGAGGTGGACGAGGAGGAGGAGGAGGAGGCGGCGGCCAGCCTGACGCAGGGCCAGGTGGGCCTGCTGGTGGACTGGCTGGAGCTGCTGGAACCAGAGATCATCTCGTCCTGTGCCGACATCCAGCTGCAGGTGATGAGAGCCGTTCCTAACACCGTAGGAAGGGGGGGGGGCTGGTCAGTCATTGGACCGCTGGGGCCGCTTGTCCACTGCCTAATCGCTCCCTGCATGTGTGCGAGCATTATGCACAATTTGCTGTAGCCGGTAGATGGACAAGGCACCCTGGCCTTTCGTCTGAGACTCCGCAGATATTGTCCCAATGCCCCCTGCTCTGTATGGGAGTAGGGGGGGGGGGGGGGGTTGCACGCCTGGCGTCTGCTGCGCGGGCTGGCTCTCCGCCTGCGCTCCCGTCGTGCTGAGCGCGCTGCCGTGCTCGTCAGATGCTGTTCGCGTCTCGCGGCGGCGGCGAGCAGCGAGGCCTGCTGAGTAACCGGGCGTACCTGCTGGCGCTGCTGACGCACCAGGCCAGCTGGGCCACGCTGCACGCCACCATCGACGTCCTGCTCGGCACCGACTGCCACAGGTGAGCACCAGCTGTGGCGGACAGGCGCCAGCTGTGACAGGGGTACTAGCTGCAACAGGTGGCTTCAGCTGTGTCGTGGCGGGGGGGGGGGGGGGGGGCGCCAGCTGTCGCAGGCGGGCACCAGCTGTCATAGGGAGCGCCAGCTGTGGTAGGTGGGCACCAGCTATAACAGAGGGGGGGGGGGGGGGCCGCGCCAGCTGTCACAGGTGGACACCAACTGTGACAGCTGTCAAACCATAAATCGGTGGAATCGTCGACCGCCGCTGCCGCCAACATTCCAGTCCACTGGCAGCGGAGTATGCTGGAAACAGGCATGCCAATCAGTGGGCCAAGAAGGGCTCTGTATGTGAAAAGTCATGTGTAACAACTAAACGCAACAGGGACGAAGTGAGGTAAGGTAAAGAGAGGGCGTTGATCACAGCACCCCAGATATTTATCTAGGTGCAGCGGCATAAAACGTTGTGACCGGAGACCTCGAGCGGTGATCAGATCGACGCCGTATTAGCGTTCCCACGCCCCCGCTGGAACATGTAACCGAGGGACGTGATCGTGCAGTTTTGCCAGTTTTTTAAATGCTTCTTTCGTGGCCTGGCAAACACCAGAATTGTAAGAAATCCCATCAAAGACCTAATTTGGAAGTGTGTTTTAATTCGTCTTCATAGCACAACTGTTCCTGAGCCCTCAAGCCCCACTGACGTTTCAGCGCCGTTTATTTTGATAACGATGTCATTTCTCATGCGTTTGAATATGCATAGCCAAATTTCAGACAAACTCGGGGAAGATTAAGATTAAGAATTCTCTTAATGGGGGGGGGGGGGGGGGGGGCTTTACCTCTATAATAGCTGCATGTTCCTACACCAGCATCCACCTTCGGCACACAAATTAGTCATGTTCATTGCGCAACAGTGTACACGGACGCTTGAACCTAATTTTATGCAACAAGTCGTTTAGAGGTGTATGGGTTTTTAGCGAAACGTGTGCACAAACCGCAGCAATGTTGCTATCTTTGTTGGTAATGAGGGTAACACAAATATGATCACTCCCTCTGGACCAACGGCCTCCTGGCTAATGACAAACACTGCCAATGCTAGGTCAGATTTACCACGTTTTACGGTTGGGTTCCCATGTTGCCCGTATTGAGTAGATCGGACTGTAGGAAGCGATGCTGGTGCTCGTCGGTGCTCAGCGCCCCACCTCTGTAGGCGAGGTGGGGCGCAGCTAATTACGTCGGGTTCCCGCGGAACACAACACAAGTGCTCTTCTTGTTATTTTGCATTCATCTAGTACAAGATTCGGATATGCACGTGGTGAGCATGGCTTAGGTAGTGAAGGCGTCTGGGTGTTCGATGAGCCCCACTCACATCTCAGCTAGAAACGACAGAGGTTTGAGGGTGGGTGTGTGGTATTGACTATTGTGATATAATCGTTGATTATGGGCGGCGTTGGCCGTGGCTCGTTGGTCTAGGGGTATGATTCTCGCTTAGGGTGCGAGAGGTCCCGGGTTCAAATCCCGGACGAGCCCTGCGTTTTGACCGTGTCTTCTGCATGCGTGTAGTACCACCAGCATTTTACGATGGCGTCTCTCTGGTTGACGAATGAAAGGGAAAATGAGACTTAAAAAGGCCAAAGAAAAGCTGGTAGCGGCGGTTGATCTTCGTCCCACTCACACGATCTTTTCCAACGGATAACCGGGCGACGAAATAATCAAACAGTGAGAGGATCCATATGAAATTAGACGAATGAAATTGAGAGGATAAGATGAGGCGTCAGGCGCGGCTGAGCGGGGGCGTAGTTTGACTGGATCGAAATATAAACCCCTAGCATTTAGTGTCATACCATGCAAGCTAAACGCCAGGAACTAGTGTAACGGCGGGTGGCGTGGCGGGCGTGTCGTTTGAGTGCAGCGCGTGTTCGTCAATCTTTTCGTTTTGTACCCACTCTGACCGGATGTAATTTGGCCACTGCGTCCACCCCCTGCGTTCCACCGTGACAAATGTTTCGGAGACGTGTGGATGCTGACGGTGCCCTGGGCCGGGCTAGTGTGGCCCGCTTCCCCTCCTCGGTCGGTGCCGGCTCCCACGGCCATTTCCGGACGGCAGACACGAACCGGGAGGGATCTGCACGGGTTTGCAGGACGACAGCGTCTCATAACAGGACGACATACCTTGAGCTGAACGATTGGAATGACGTTTACATGAAAACATTTTAACTAACACTGTTTACCTCACAAATTCTACGGGCTGTTGGGCTGGTCAGCATGTTGACGTGGCGAGCTTGCGTGGGCTGAACCCAAGTTATGCCGGGTTGGGATGGCCTATGGGTTGGCGTTTTTGAAAGTCTCTTTTTTGGACGTCCGTTGCTCACAAACAACAACGGTTTTCAAGATGGTCCTGGGCCGAAGGAGGCGATCGCTGGATCCAGGGACGCAGCGAGAGGGGCTAGCCCATCCCCCTCCCCTCAGGCCTGTTTTCTTAGCACATAGACGGCTCCCTTTTAATGAGTGTGAACTGCGCTACCCCCAAGAAAATCCTGGCTGCAACCCCTGGTGGGCATTTAAGCAGACCAAATCCAGCTCAATAGATAGGAGTGGTCGTGCACCTCTTCTATCCTTGGTCAGGCCCACGCCTTGCAGCGTTTCGGCAGAACCGTACCACAGTGGGCGTTCGCAGCATTTGAAACAGCGCCTGCCTATCTGCATTGTAGATCATTGTACCTGCATTGTACATAGTCAACTCCTCAACCAAGAGCAGCCTTGAACGTGTCTATTTATTGATACCACACTTTATGATCACATGTTTCCACAAACCACAACTCACAATACATCCGCATTTCACAGCTCTGACGCAAGGAACCATATCAATATCAACAGTCAACAAAACGCCTACATGGTCGCTCCAACCATGGGGAACTATGTAGACAGCCCGAGCTTAAAGCTGATGCTCACCAGGGTACTTGGCGTACCAAAGACAGTACTAAAATATCACACAAGAGTATGCCCAGCTGCATGAATGAGGTGACATTTTAGTCTACCTCCTCCACGGTCGGTCCCCGTTCATTAGCAGACTGCTGGCCGCACTGTCCACCGGTGGCGCCCTGGTGAATCTTCGTCATGATCGGGCTGCACGTCTTCTGCAGCTCCTGCAGCCGGTGCTCGAGCTCCTCCTTCTCGGCCAGCGTGTTCGAGTCCAGCCACTTGACGGTCTCGTCACAGAGCTCGGTGACCCGCCGCCGGTCGTCCTCCGGCACCTTATCGCCGGCATCGCCCACGGCTTGTTTCACGGAGAAGACGTAGCCCTCCAGCTGGTTTCTGGCGGCGACTCGCTCTCGCTGCGCGTCGTCCTCGGCCTTGAACTTCTGGGCGTCGTTGACCATGCGCTCGATGTCCGCCTTGCTGAGGCGGCCCTTGTCGTTGGTGATGGTGATGTTGTTGGACTTGCCGGTGGACTTGTCCTCGGCGCTGACGCTGAGGATGCCGTTGGCGTCGATGTCGAAGGTGACGAGCACCTGCGGCACGCCGCGCGGCGCCGGAGGCAGTCCGGTGAGGTCGAACGTGCCCAGCAGGTGGTTGTCTCGGGTCATGGCCCTCTCGCCCTCATACACCTGGATGGTGACGGCCGGCTGGTTGTCGGCGTACGTGGTGAACGTGTTCTGCTGCTTGCAAGGCACCCGGCTGTTGCGCTGGATGAGGTTGGTCATGACACCGCCGGCCGTCTCGATGCCGAGCGAGAGCGGCGCCACGTCGACGAGCAGTACGTCCTGGATGACGGAGCTCTTGTCGCCGGAGAGTACGGCCGCCTGCACGGCGGCGCCGTACGCCACCGCCTCGTCCGGGTTGATGGACTTGTTGAGCTCCTTGCCGTTGAAGCAGTCCTGCAGCAGCTTCTGGATCTTGGGGATGCGCGTGGAGCCGCCCACGAGCACGATCTCGTTGATGGCCGACTTGTCGAGCTTGGCGTCCCGCAGCGCCTTCTCCACGGGCTGCAGGGTGCCGCGGAACAGGTCGATGCACAGCTCCTCGAAGCGGGCACGCGAGATCCTGCTGTAGAAGTCGACGCCCTGGTAGAGGGCGTCGATCTCGATGTTGGCCTCGGTGCTGCTGGACAGGGTGCGCTTGGCTCGCTCGCACGCCGTCCTCAGTCGCCGCATGGCTCGGGCGTCGCCCTTGAGGTCCTTTTTGTGCTTGCGCTGGAACTCGTCGGCGAAATGGTTGACCAGCCTGTTGTCGAAGTCCTCGCCGCCCAGGTGCGTGTCGCCGGCGGTGGAGCGCACTTCGAACATGGCGCCGTCGGCGATGGTCAAGATGGACACGTCGAACGTGCCACCGCCGAGGTCGAAGATGAGCACATTCTTGTCGCCGCTGAGCTTCTTGTCGAGGCCGTAGGCCAGCGCGGCCGCCGTCGGCTCATTGATGATGCGCTTGACGTTGAGGCCGGCGATGGCGCCGGCGTCCTTGGTGGCCTGCCGCTGCGAGTCGTTGAAGTAGGCGGGCACCGTGATGACGGCGTCCGTCACGCGGGTGCCCAGGTACGCCTCGGCCGTCTCCTTCATCTTTGTCAGCACCATGGAGCTGATCTCCTCAGGCGTGAACCGCTTCGTCTCGCCCTTGTGCTCGACCTGGACCCTGGGCTTGCCGCCATCGTTGATCACGGCGAACGGCCAGTGCTTGAGATCGTGCTGGATGTTGTCGTCGTCGAAGCGACGTCCGATGAGACGCTTGGCGTCGAAGACGGTGTTCTTGGGGTTCAGGGCCACCTGGCCCTTGGCCGCGTCTCCAATGAGACGCTCGGTGTCCGTGAAGGCCACGTAGCTGGGCGTGGTCCTGTTGCCCTGGTCGTTGGCGATGATCTCCACCTTGCCGTGCTGGAACACCCCTACGCAAGAGTAGGTGGTGCCCAGATCGATGCCGATCGTCGGACCCTTCATAATGCTGCTGTCCACTTTGCCTCTTGCCACAGGAAGTCACGATTGTTGAAGAGAATCGCGCTCTATCACACTGTCGCACGGCGCACACCCTCCTCCGTGTGGTTCGGTGTGTATGTGACGCTCCAACCCCATCCACGGGTTATATACCCCAGCGCGAGCGCGCTCCACTACTTACTACGACTTTCACGAATACTCCAGGCGTGGGGATGCGCTGACTCGTCTCATTGGTTCAAACGTCACGTGCAGCTACAACGCTGGCCCTGATTGGTGGGTAGCTGAGCGGCAGTATGAATGGTGGCGATCGCCAGCTGGCGTTCCGGTGTTTTCGAGAACGGTCACCAGGCGGCTAGAGCCTTGCGGTGGTCGGGTGATTCAGCCGTGGGGAGGAGCGTACACTACAAATACATGCTCCGAACGAGAGCTGCCGAACAGCTAGGGCTTAGCCTAAAATGTGTGAATCAGCAGCCACTACCTGTACGGGGGAGGGAGGGGTGAGGAGAGTTGGATCAGTTTTTACTCTGAGCCCCCCAAATTCTATCAATTCCATTAGACATACGCACAATCCCAGACAAAAACCGACGCCGCATTTGTGAACTACCTTTACGCACAAATTGTCCTGTCGTGGATATCAAAGGCTTTTTCCTGACGCAGAACTCGTCGCCTGCATTTCCCTACCGTTCTGGACAAATATTTACTGCCTCTTGTATTTAATCTGGCGCTTAACACATCAAACATCGAGGGCACCCTCAGGTTGGAGTATTTGAAGCCATTCTAAGCATGAGCGGCTGCGCTACGGGTTTTAAGTTGGGCAGGATTTCCCCGAGGGTCTCGTGGACAAAATGGGGCCTCCTTCCAGAGTGTGTGTGTGGGGGAGGGGGGGGGGGGGGGCTCCTGCGCAGCGTCGTATTCTAGGGGAGTCGGTATCGGGGGTTATTTGCCGTCTTATCAAGCTGTTACCTGTATTATATCCAAGCAAATTAAATGTCGGCAGCTAAAAAAAAGCCAGAATGGGGGCCCTTTGATTATGCAGCAAAGGATTTTGCTAACGTAAAACAGGACGTACTGTTCCAGAACAGAGCCTCCTGATGCACAGAGGCCTCTTAATCCAGAACAGGATGCATACGATTCACGAAGTTAGCCTTGAAACCTAGCCAGGGGACCTCGCTATTCCAAAACACAGCATCAATGTCAGGAATGGCGGACATCTGTTGCATGGAAGAGATCTGCTGTTCTAGAATGGGGGCTTCCTGAATGAGAAGAGTATGTTCTAAACCAGAATAGGGGCCTCCTGGTTTGTCGCGGGGCGTTCCGAGCCAGAAGAGGGGCCTCCTTAATACAACATTGACCATCCTGATGTAGAGAGTTGACTGCCTTATTCGTAAATGGGCCTCAGGGCCCGAACAACGGGTCACTTGATGTAGGAAAGGGTCTTCTAAGCATGATTTATTACCTTTTAACTCAGTTATGGCCCCTCCTTCATTTGAATTTGGATACTCTGCGTCTAGCTACCGATTCTTTAGTTAGGGAGAAGGGGGCTTCCCAATTTTGGGGGAACAGACGCTCGCCCCCGCCCCCTGCCTCCGGAGAGGGGATATCTACGTCTCTGCGTATCCCCCTCGGAGCGGCATCTCATTCCAAGGCATGGAGTCGTGTCCTTACATCACATATTGGTTTAAACGTTCATAATATTCCTGACATTTAACTCATTTTCTTTGACTAGATTGAATTACATTTCATTTAACTAGAGCCGTGCAGTGTTGGGTGGGGGTGATTCAGGCGCGGATATGAATAGGGGGGGGGGGGGGGGAAGACGGGGGCGCTACGGATATGTGTAAGTGTGCGCTGTTTCGGGTCAATACGCACATTACAAATACATGCTTAGAACGAAAGCTGTCGATCATATGGGGCTTAGCCCAAAACGCGTCATCGAATCAGTATGTATGATGTATGAGTGTGGGGGGGGGGGGGAAGGGGGTAGGGAGAGTTGTATCAGTTTTTACTCTGAGCCCTGCCCTGCTATAACTTCTGAGGGTAGGACTAAGGTTCTCATTTGCAGACAGCTATAACCTTCGGCTTGATTTGTCGCGGTGACGTTTTGGACATAACGTCTTTGTTTTGTGTTTTTGGCAAATGATTATGAATGCACCGCTTCCAGCAAAACAATCGACCCGTCCCCTGGGTAAACTGTATCACATAGTGATGGAAGTTGTGCTTCTGTGTTGTTACCTACAGTAAGTTGCATTGCACGCAAGCTGAACACTTAACGACGTGCATACCAGACGCGTTCGTCCGTGCTATTTTGTGGTTCGTCGTAATTACTCGATGACAAATTTTTGCCCTTGTAATCAATCACTGTTTCGTCGAAATTGCTCCGTGACAAATGTTTGCCCTTTAATCAATCACTACTGTCAACCGTCAACTGCTTAATCAACAGTGTTACCAACAGTCGGTGTCAGTCGGCCACTGGCTCTAAATCAGTCAAAAACATATTGCAGGTTCGACGCAAACCAGTCAAAAACATATTGCATTAACGACGCAGCTTGTCCATGCAAAGCTGAAACAGCACGTACGACCCGACATCTGTCATTGTTCGTGCCACCCTGAAGTCATTGGCTAGCATGTTCCAGGTGTTTTGCAGTATGCACGACACATCGCTCCGTCACCACCCAGTATAACGTTCAGATCGATCGAGATATGGCTTAAAGCTCTTATACACACATTTACACCGATCGCTATGGTTTTCAGCGATATGTCGAAGACCTAATTTTTCACAAAAACCTGCTCTTCGCGGCATGCCATACCAAAATGCGTGTAGGTATGCCGCTGGAAGTGCACTGAAAGATAGGGCGAGCTGTTGTGCGTTAGCTGAGTGACTGAAAACCGCCATCGGTCGCAAAAATGGAAATAAATTGCCCTGGTCCTACTTGGACATGATTCAGCTGACTCCCCCCCCCCCCCCCCACTTTCCCCTACGTCCGAAATTGTTGAATTCAAGTTCCGAAATATCCTTTTTACAAAATCCAAACATGTTTGATTTTTCCGTGCGCTGTGGGCGTTGTGGGAGCATGGCAAATAAAGCAAGGTGACTGGTGGATATTTCCTGCCTTGCCGGGGACACGATTTGTGAAGGATTCACCAATCACTCAACCTACGCTTCTCCATCATCATATCAAGCACAAGGGCTCTCAAAATCCTCTCAACTGTGTGAGACATACACACCTCAAATAATAACCGACGTCACAGTCACCAAGTACATTCACGCACAAATGCCCAGTCGCTAATGCCAAACGCTTTTTCCAGTCGCAGTACTCGTCGCCTGCATTTGCCTATCAGTCTGGAATCATTTGTGCCGGTGTTTGTGTTTAACGATCACATAACGTAACCAACATCGAGGCCACCGTCAATTAGACTATTTGGAACTGTTCCAAGCAGCAGCGACTGCGCCACGTGTTCTAAGTTGGAGCAGAATTTGATAATGACATTTCTGACGTTCAACTCACATGTTCACTATGTGATACAATGGCACATTTGGAACACTGTCGTTCCGAGAGGAATACAGTAAGCCCCTGTCCACCGTCTGGTCCTATGGCTGGCAATTCTGCTCCACGACTAAAAACTTAGTATTTACCGCCACCGAACTGGAGTTATAGCCACGTCCTGCGACACATAACCCTATATATAATATGTATCTACCAATAATCCTAATCCCACCTCCGGAGGAGCAACGCTTGATATTTGGTTTTCGGTGTCCACCGAAACGCTTCTTTCCCGCTGTTCTACAGCCGCATTGGGAATCGCATCCCAGGAGATGATTTTCAATCGAGGGGCTCAATCAGCTATGAAGTAATGATATTGTGTGCGGGGAGCCTTCAAATTGGAACAGACAAATGCTGTTTTTGAGCTGAATGGCTTTGAATAACTTTGGCATGCATACCTTTTATCTTAGCTTATTTACCGTAGAAAATCTGTGGGCTGTGGGCTCGTCACTATGTGGGTGTGGCGGGCTTGGTGTGTTGTGGTGCTCGAACATAGCAACGGCTCTCTACATGGTGCCGAGATGTACAGACGATCATTGGCCCCTCCCCTCCCCCTTCTTCGAGGCCCCTAGGCCGGCGTTTGATACTTAAGCATCATGGACAGCTTATTCGGTTCCCTCACAATGGATGGTCAATGAATTCTGCCTCCTTCCCCCAGCCCATCCCGCTAAGCAAGTCCTGGCTCTAGCCCTGGGTGGGCCTTTAGGGAGACCAAATCGATTTCAATAGATAAGAGTGGTCGTGCACTTCCTCTGTCGTTAGCCAAGCCCTCGTCTTGCAGTGTTTCGGCAGAACCGTACCTCAGTAGGCGTTCGCGGCATTTCAAACCGCACCTGGTCATCTGCACTGCAAATAAACTCAACCACAAAGAAGCTTGAACGTGCATATTTATTGATACGGTGTCGCATGATGGCATGTTATCAAAATCCACAACTCACAAGATATCTGCATCTCACAGCCCTGGCGCGCGTAACCACGTCAATAGCAGATGACAACGCCCACGCGGACGTCGGTAGAACCAGGGTCCACCCCCCCCCCCCCCCCCCGAAGGAATCCTGGCTGCGGCCTTGCATGGACCGTTAAGCAGACGAAGTCTGTTTGTTAGGGTAAGAGTAGCCGTGTGCCTTCTCTGCCGTTGGCTAAGCTCTCGCCTTGCGTTATTTGGGCGGGACCGTACCTCAGCGGGCGTTCACAGCCTGTCAAATCGCACCAGATCATGTCCGCGGTAAACTGCTCGACCACGAGCAGGCTTGAACGTACATATTTATTGATACGACACTGTATGATTACATATTTCCACAATCCACACTTCGCAATACATCCGCACCTCACAGCTCTGACGCGAGGAACCATATCAATAACAACGGGCGACAAAACACTCACGCGGTCGCTCCAGCCATAAAGAACTATGTGGACAGCCCTGAGCTTAAAGGTATTGCTCACGAGGCTACTTGATCATGGGCGCTGCATGACGATTTTCAGGTGACGCGCCCTAAAACTCCAAAGAGTCATCATCACGAGGGTACTTGGCGTGTCAAGGGCCGTACCAAAAGCTCACACAAAAGAATGACTAGCTGTATGAATGAGGTGACATTTTAGTCTACCTCCTCCACGGTCGGTCCCCGTTCACTAGCAGACTGCTGGCCGCACTGTCCACCGGTGGCACCCTGGTGGATCTTCGTCATGATCGGGCTGCACGTCTTCTGCAGCTCCTGCAGCCGGTGCTCGAACTCCTCCTTCTCTGCCAGCGTGTTCGAGTCCAGCCACTTGACGGTCTCGTCACAGAGCTCGGTGACCCGCCGCCGGTCGTCTTCTGGCACCTTGTCGCCGGCATCGCCCACGGCTTGTTTCACGGAGAAGACGTAGCCCTCCAGCTGGTTTCTGGCGGCGACTCGCTCTCGCTGCGCGTCGTCCTCGGCCTTGAACTTCTGGGCGTCGTTGACCATGCGCTCGATGTCCGCCTTGCTGAGGCGGCCCTTGTCGTTGGTGATGGTGATGTTGTTGGACTTGCCGGTGGACTTGTCCTCGGCGCTGACGCTGAGGATGCCGTTGGCGTCGATGTCGAAGGTGACGAGCACCTGCGGCACGCCGCGCGGCGCCGGAGGCAGTCCGGTGAGGTCGAACGTGCCCAGCAGGTGGTTGTCTCGGGTCATGGCCCTCTCGCCCTCATACACCTGGATGGTGACGGCCGGCTGGTTGTCGGCGTACGTGGTGAACGTGTTCTGCTGCTTGCAAGGCACCCGGCTGTTGCGCTGGATGAGGTTGGTCATGACACCGCCGGCCGTCTCGATGCCGAGCGAGAGCGGCGCCACGTCGACGAGCAGTACGTCCTGGATGACGGAGCTCTTGTCGCCGGAGAGTACGGCCGCCTGCACGGCGGCGCCGTACGCCACCGCCTCGTCCGGGTTGATGGACTTGTTGAGCTCCTTGCCGTTGAAGCAGTCCTGCAGCAGCTTCTGGATCTTGGGGATGCGCGTGGAGCCGCCCACGAGCACGATCTCGTTGATGGCCGACTTGTCGAGCTTGGCGTCCCGCAGCGCCTTCTCCACGGGCTGCAGGGTGCCGCGGAACAGGTCGATGCACAGCTCCTCGAAGCGGGCACGCGAGATCCTGCTGTAGAAGTCGACGCCCTGGTAGAGGGCGTCGATCTCGATGTTGGCCTCGGTGCTGCTGGACAGGGTGCGCTTGGCTCGCTCGCACGCCGTCCTCAGTCGCCGCATGGCTCGGGCATCGCCCTTGAGGTCCTTTTTGTGCTTGCGCTGGAACTCGTAGGCGAAATGGTTGACCAGCCTGTTGTCGAAGTCCTCGCCGCCCAGGTGCGTGTCGCCGGCGGTGGAGCGCACTTCGAACATGGCGCCGTCGGCGATGGTCAAGATGGACACGTCGAACGTGCCACCGCCGAGGTCGAAGATGAGCACATTCTTGTCGCCGCTGAGCTTCTTGTCGAGGCCGTAGGCCAGCGCGGCCGCCGTCGGCTCGTTGATGATGCGCTTGACGTTGAGGCCGGCGATGGCGCCGGCGTCCTTGGTGGCCTGCCGCTGCGAGTCGTTGAAGTAGGCGGGCACCGTGATGACGGCGTCCGTCACGCGGGTGCCCAGGTACGCCTCGGCCGTCTCCTTCATCTTCGTCAGCACCATGGAGCTGATCTCCTCAGGCGTGAACCGCTTCGTCTCGCCCTTGTGCTCGACCTGGACCCTGGGCTTGCCGCCATCGTTGATCACGGCGAACGGCCAGTGCTTGAGATCGTGCTGGATGTTGTCGTCGTCGAAGCGACGCCCGATGAGACGCTTGGCGTCGAAGACGGTGTTCTTGGGGTTCAGGGCCACCTGGCCCTTGGCCGCGTCTCCAATGAGACGCTCGGTGTCCGTGAAGGCCACGTAGCTGGGCGTGGTCCTGTTGCCCTGGTCGTTGGCGATGATCTCCACCTTGCCGTGCTGGAACACCCCTACGCAAGAGTAGGTGGTGCCCAGATCGATGCCGATCGTCGGACCCTTCATAATGCTGCTGTCCACTTTGCCTCTTGCCACAGGAAGTCACGATTGTTGAAGAGAATCGCGCTCTATCACACTGTCGCACGGCACACACCTCCCTCCGTGTGGTTCGGTTCGTATCTGACGCTCCAACCCCATCCACGGGTTATATACCCCAGCGCGAGCGCGCTCCACTACTTACTACGACTTTCACGAATACTCCAGGCGTGGGGATGCGCTGACTCGTCTCATTGGTTCAAACGTCACGTGCAGCTACAACGCTGGCCCTGATTGGTGGGTAGCTGAGCGGCAGTATGAATGGTGGCGATCGCCAGCTGGCGTTCTGGTTTTTTCGAGAACGGTCACCAGGTGGCTAGAGCCTTGCGGTGGTCGGGTGATTCAGCCGCGGGGAGTAGCGTACACTACAAATACATGCTCCAAACGAGAGCTGCCGAACAGCTAGGGCTTAGCCTAAAATGTGTGAATCAGCAGCCATTACCTGTACGGGGGAGGGAGGGGTGAGGAGAGTTGGATCAGTTTTTACTCTGAGCCCTTTCCTGCTACAACCACTGAGGGTAGGACTAAGATGTTCGTATCTGCAGTTATTCATAACCTTGAAATTGATATGAAATTGTCAAGTTTTGGTGTTCACATGTTTTTTGTTAGGTAAATGACCTCTGAATGAGTCCTCTTGAAACGAGGCAACGCACCCCGCAGCGGGGTAAATGGTGTCACGTAGTGGTAGATGCTGTTCTTACATGTTCCTCATGGAATTAGTTGCATTAGCAGCAAGCTGAACGATGTGTGTATCAAATGCGTTGGTTCGTGCTCTTTCGTATTTCCTCGGTATTATGGCATGGCAAATTGTATGCCCTTTTAATCAGTGTTGTCAACCGTCAGTCGTTCAATCAGCAATGTTTCCAACAGCCAGTGTCAGTCAGCCATTGACAATTATTCAGTCAATAACATATTGTTGGTTCATTGTATCAACGATACAGCATGCCCATGCAAGGCTGAAACAACGTGTAAGCATCGTACTTCTGGGAAAAGTTTGCACCACCCTGAAATCATTGGCTAGCAGATCCAAAATGCTCAACTGCTCGTCGGCTCAACAGCTAATATTGAGCTGCGGCCAACGTGTGGACAAAATAATGACGCTTTTGAAAGAAGTACCTTTGAACGCTTCAGGACATTACATCTTACATTTACAAGGCAGTCTGGATGCATATTTCACGAGTGCGATTTTTAGACTGTTGATAAGACCGAATTGGCCATTAAAGCACCGCTGTGAAATGGTGCCGGAATCTGGTGGTGGAACTGGAAGAGGTGGGTTCTCTAATTTTCGTGTTTTTGTAACTATTTATTTGTCCAGAAGGCAGACTAACACGGCGCTCGCCGTCTGATGGTACTTGCAGTGGCCGAAGCCGTTCGGAAATACGGAGGCTGCAACCCAGACCATCGTTGTCCTTGCTCTTGAGGTCGCGGGCGGTCATGTTCAAACTTTTTGATGCACTTTTTCACTAATCTTTTCTGAAAAATGAGTGTTCTTTGGCAAACATGGGTTTGCCTTGTTTGTTTTTTTTTTGATACATTAATTTCGCCCTAATCTATTCAGCAATAATGAGACCTCAACTCTACCCAACAATAATGAGGCCCCTTACTTCCTCCGGGCAGTGGGCCCCTCGAGTAGAACACCAAGAGCACATTTCTGGTTCCGGTCAAGTGCCGAAGGGCCACGCCGTCACATCGCGAAGCGTCTTCTGGCTGTCATTCTAGCGACGCGGGGCGGGATCTTCTGGTCGATCCGGTGGCCATCGGAAGGATATGTCATCACATTGTTCCCCTCCCTCACACGGGATGCCTTCTGACCCACGCAGTTTACCCCGGATCAGCATAGGAATCCCCATTGACACAAGAACATCCCTGATCGCTTAAGGTGGTCCAGTCAATGTCACACAGGCTCCAGTTCCGTGTCTTTCTGTTTTTCTTCAGAGATATTGAGGAATCCTTGAACGTAGGTTGTAGATGAAATGGGGTCTTAAGCTTGCATTAACATGGCTAGTCCTTGCTCGTCTTAAAATGTTCAAGATTCAGTCAGAATTGATTGCTGATAGGACACTATGCAATATGGTTTTGGATATAAACGCTCGCAAGTCATAGCAACAATAGGCTTAACGCCTGGCGTTGCAGTCTCCATAGGGCGCGTGGCGTCGGCTTGCGGCTTTGATACTAAGGAATGGTCAATAAGCAAACGAAAAAGATGACGCATCTTGGGGAAGATGACTGGTGAAATAGGTAAATCGGCATTTATATTTAAGTTTGGTGCAAAAGTAAGCTAAACACAACCTCGATCTCAAAAGTGGGGGTGGAGGCATGGCCCACCCGTCCCCCCCCCCCCCCGTTCCTACGCCCACGGTATCGGCGGCGTTTACCATCTTATCAAGGGCTGTTATGTGTATTATATCCCAAGTAAATGAAATGTCGGCAGCTAAAAAAGCCAGAATGGGGGCCTTTTGATTATCCAGCAAAGGATCTTGATAACGTAAAACAGGACCCGCTGTTCCAGGACAGAGCCTCCTGATGCATAGAGGCCTATTTATCCAGAACAGGATGCATACGATTCACGAAGTTGGCCTAGAAGTCTAGCCAAGGGGCCTCGCTTTTCCAAAACACAGCATCAAGATCAGGAATGGCGGACATCTGTTGCGTGGAAGAGATCTGCTGTTCTGGAATGGGGGCTTCCTGAATGAGAAGGGGATGTTTTAAACCAAAATAGGGGCTTCCTGGTTTGTCGCGGGGGCCTTCCGAGCCAGAAGAGGGGCCTCCTTAATACAACATTGACCATCCTGATGTAGAGAGTTGGCTACTTTATTCGTAAATGGGCCCCAGGACCCGAACAACGGGCCACTTGATGTAGCAAAGGGTATCCTTAGCACGATTTATTACCTTTTAACTCAGTTATGGCCCCTCCTTCATTTGAATTTCGATACTTTTCGTCGTGGTACCGGTTCTTGAGTTAGGGAAAAGGGGGCCTCCCAATTTTTTGGAACAGACTCTCGCCCCCGCCCCCTGCCTCCGGAGAGGGGGACATCTGCGTCTCTGCGTATCCCCCTTCTGAGCGGCTTCTCAGGCCAAGGCATGGAGTGGCGTGCTTACATCACATATTTGTTTAGGCGTTCATGGTATTTCTGACATTTAACTCATATTTTATTTGACTAGATTAAATAACATTTCATTAAACTAGAGCCGTGCAGTGTTGGGTGGGGGCGATTCAGGCGCGGAGATGAATAAGGGGGGGGGGGGAGGGGGGAGACGGGGCGCTACGGATATGTGTAACTGTGCGCTGTTTCGGGTCAACACGCACATTACAAATACATGCTTCAGAACGAGAATGTCCGAACATATGGGGCTTAGCCCAAAACGCGTCATCAAATCAGTATGTATGATGTATGAGTGGGGGGGGGGGGGAAGGGGGTAGGGAGAGTTGTATCAGTTTTTACTCTGAGCTCTGCCCTGCTATAACTACTGAGGGTAGGACCTAATATTCTTTATGTTTGCAGGCAGCTGTAACATTCAGCTTGGTTTGTCGCGATGACGTTTTGGAGATGACGTCCCTGTTTGTTTTTTGTTTTTTTTATTTGCTGTTTTGTTTTGGTAGATGATTATTAATGCACCGCTTCAAACGATACAACCGAGCCCTCCCCTTGGTAAAATGTATCACATAGTGATTGGAGCTGCGCTTATGTGTTTTTACATACAGTAAGTTGCATTGCACGCAAGCCGAACACTGAACGACATGCATACCAAACGCGTGCGTCCGTGCTATTTCGTGGTCCGTCGAAATTACTCAGCGACAAATTTTTGTCCTTGTAATCAATCGATATTGTCAGCCGTCAGCCGTTTAATCAGCAGTGTTACCAACAGTCCGTGTCAGTCATCCACTGACATCAAATCAGTCAAAAACATATTGCAAGGTCCGTTGTATCGACGACGCAGCATATCCATGTGAAGCTGAAACAGCATGTACGACCCGACGTCTGTCATTGTTCGTGCCAGTGGCTAGCATGTTCCGAGTGTTTTGCAGTATGCGCGATTTACGCACACGCACACATTCACACCGATCGCTATGGTTTTCAGCGATATGTCAAAAACCTGATTTTTCACGCTGAATGCAAGATGTGTAGGTACGCCACTGGAAGTGCAGTGAAATATAGGGCGAGCCGTTGTGCGTTAGCTGAGTGACTGAATACTGCCATCGGTCGCAAAAAAGGAAATAAATTGCCCTGGTCCTACTTGGACATGATTCAGCTGTCCCCGCCCTCCCTTTTCCTCTGTGTCCGAAGTCGTGGAGTTAACCTCCAAAATATATTTTTACACAATCCAAACATGTTTGATTTTTCCGTACGCTGCGGGCGTTGCCTTGGGAGCATGGCAAATTAGGCAAGGCAGGGTATTTGCTGGCTTGCCGGGAACACGATTTGTGAAGGATTGACCACTCACTCAACCTGCGCTTCTCCGTCACCATGTCAAGTAACCGGGACTCAAAAATCCCGTCAACTGTGTGAGACATACACATAACCGCAAAGAATGACCAACGCCACAGCCGCAAACTACATTCACGCACGAATGTCCAGTCACTGGTGCCAAACGTTTTTTTTCGGTCGGAGTACTCGTCGCCTGCATTTCCCTATCGGTCTGGAGTCAGATGTACGGGTGCATATGTTTAACTGGCACATGACGCAACAAACATCAAGTGCACTCTCAGGTTAGAAAATTTGAAGCCATTCTAAGCAGGGGCGGCGGCGCCACGTGTTTTGAATTGGAGCAGGATTTTCGAGGGTTCTCTTGGACAAAATGTAGCCTCGTAGGGGGAGGGCTCCTGCGCAGCGTCGTATCCCAGGGCAAGGGGCATCGAAGGAATGTGTTTTGTATCAAACTGTAGTGTATATTCTATCCCCACACAAGTAACTGTCGACAGCTAAAAATCCAGAGTGGGGCCTTTTGATTTTCCAGCAAATGGTCTCGCTTACTTAAAACAGGGCCTTCGTATTCCACAACAGGACCTTCCGATGCATAGAGAGGCCTCGCAATCCAGTAGAGGATGTAAATGGTTCATGAAGAAGGCCTTGAAATATAGCTAAGGGTCCTC